CGCATCCCAAACATCCTGGCATTATTACTCAGTTCTAACAGAAGACTCTGCATTTTGCCAGCGTCTTCACCAAACAGGACTATGTCATCTGCGTATTCCAAGTCGTTTAGTGGAGCCCTGGTAGGAGATCATTTCCTGAAAATTCAGTCGACGAGAGTGTTATTTCCAGCAACAGGTCTATAATGAAGTTAAACAAAAATGGGGATAGTGGACAACCTTGATGGACACCACTTGAGATTGTAATGTCATATGACAGTTCGCCATAAGCTCTCACTCGACTGGTAGTGTTCGAGTAAAGAGCCTTCACAAGGTTTATGTACTTCTCAGGTACATTTTTAATGACAGACACTGCCACAGAACCTCTCGGTCTACAGAGTCAAATGCTGCTTTCAAGTCAAGAAATACTATCATTGTCGGATGCCGATAAGCATGTCTGTGCTCTAAAACGTGACGAATGGTGAATATGTGGTCGATACAGCCACGACCAGGCCTGAAGCCAGCCTGATTTTCTCGTGTTTATAGTTCACGAGTCTTAGTTAGGCGCCCGATAATTATTGAGGCTAGTATTTTAGATGCTATGAGGAGCCACGTATTTGGACGAAGCGACCTTTCAATCCTTTTAGATTGTTTAGCTAAGATCAATTCACGACTAGAAGCATAATAATTATTCAATTGCCTACTGTTCGAAATGTAACTTGACGTCACAAAAAAGTCAACAACTTTTTTGGAAATAAAAAATGCAATTAATCATATACTCATCGTAAAAATACTGTAGTATCATTTTATATGCAAGCCCATATACTTTATTTTAGCTATTGGCCAAGCCAATTCACCTATACATTATGAGTTATATCATTCGCTTATTAACCTTGACTACTTTTTTATATGAGCGTATATGTATGCACACTTCGTATCTCATTCATCATATGTCTGTCATTCATTTTTGTCTGACTATAAATGTTGATTAACGCTTGCTTAAAATGAGTTGGCTTCCCCGCCATCTCCACTGCATGTTATTTTCTCCTCGTTCGCTTTTATTCGCTTCATCACTCTGATTCTCTGGCCAGATCAATGAGTATAGAAAATATATGTATTCTAAATCCATTATCGTATTCGACTTATTTAACTCCGTTATTAACCAACGCGGATCAAGTTATTTATTACATACGAGGACAGACAGTACGTATATTTTGACAACAAACAATCATTCATACGATCAAAAAGGAATCAGATTTACGCCACTACAGAATTGGATGCCTCGCTGAACGAATGCGAAGCAAAATTGGTAATCCCGACTAGCGAACAACGCAACATAAGACAATCCAAGTTCATATGTAATAAGAGTGATTCTCAATAGCTAATTATTGATATAAATATTATTACTAAGCTTCTAACCGATCGTTACAAAAAAACTGAGTACTGGGTAGTTTGAACTTGTGTTATTAAATTACTCTATGAAAGTGTGACATGAAACCAAGCTGCAAAATGTCAGAAATCGCAATTTATATTCATTGGAATAACACAAATATATCATTATTTTATTTTTTTAACTGGAAATATATTTGAAATATACCAACAGATTTGATTTTGTATAGCAAAAATAATCATAATGAATTCTTAGTTATAAGTAAATAGAATTTAATTACGGTTCAATGTTTCAACATGTTGAATACAGTTAAAATCACGAGTCAGTTGAAGCTAAACCACCATGGAAAACCTGGAAGCACCGGAAGGCCGTTTAGTCCTTATGTGGGACTCCTCAGCAGTGTGCATCTATGATCCCGCCTGGCGAGATTCGAACCTAGGACCTACCAGTCTCGCGCCCAAACGCGGGATCGTGGATTCGCGCTGCTGAGGAGACCCACGATAGGACGAAATGGCCGTTCAGTGCTTCCAGATTTTCCATGGTGGTCTAGCTTCAATTGACTCATGATTTCAACCATATAAAATTACTAAAATCTCCACGATATCCCCTTCTGTTATTGAATACAATTATAGATATTTAAAGTAAATAAATCCCATTGACATAAGGCAATGATAAGAATATATTGTTTGTTTGTAGAAACAATGAATATAATACGAATACTTTTGTTTTGATGAATCAAATGTAATATGAGTATTTATCAAGAGTTTCTTAATCTTCAATAAGAAATTTATTCAAAAAATCACATGATTTTGGTTATATTAAAAAATTCTTTATAAATAATCTATTGTTCAACAATGACACAATTATAGTATTTGTATTGACTGACTACTTGACTTGTTTATAAAGACTTTATTTGTGTCTGCATGTTGTTAGGTATTTCAATACAACAACAAAAAACATACTAATGACAAAAATTAATGAAGAAGAATAATTAAATATTCTATCGAATTATACTAAACACTCATATTTCGTGTTCTAGAAAGTCTTTTTTGTTCATAGTAAAAAATTATCTTGTTTAAAATATTAAAAAAAATATACATATAGTTGAAATCATGAGTCAATTGAAACTAGACCACCATGGGAAACCTGGAAGCATTGGACGGCCGTTTCGTCCTATTGTGGGACGATATAATAATAATATAATTATATAATCAAAATTATTGGCTACATTTTATTACATTTTTTTTTATATAGAAAAAGTTAATGAATATTCTGTACAGGTATAAAATGTATTAGTTTTCTTTTTAAGGAAAAAATCAAATGTTAAATGTTATTATGATTTTTGAGGGTATTATCGTATATAAATATATAATCACGTGGTTACTGTAAAGAAAAATATATGCAAACATGAAGCAAACTACCAGATCTGTCAATAATTGATAGGAAATGTTGAAAAATAAAACTTTCATAAATGGTAATTATCATATTTTAACTTTATAATTTTATGTTGTCTCTTGATAATAGCAAGATAGTGACATTACTGTTACAGCAAAAGAAATATTTGAAAACTGTATTGTTAAGTTGATAGAACAGTTTATTTTTTTCACTTTGACAGTAGTGGTATAATAAATATAACCTTCTTTTAAAAAAAAAAGTGTTTTAATGTTGCTTAAAACATACAAGTATATAATAAGAAAATGGCTTTATTGGAATTGAAGACATTGGATTCAGTTAGCTGAAATTAAAATAATCCTGACAAGATTTATTGATACGTTATATTATTTTTCAGTATAAGCATTAACCTAACACTTATTAATATAAATAGATTTATGTGTTATACTGTATAAACAATGTTAAATTAATTTTTTTAAATTGAATAATAAGATTAATAGGTTAGAAACACCTTCAGTCTAGTGCGAAATGAATCCAAACCTGATTATATAGTAAACAACACGATCGTTAACATATAAGTATGATAAATGTGAAGAATATTGTTTGAATTAATATAGAAAGCATAAAATAGGACATCATACGTTCAATAATTGGAATTATCAGAGACTGGAAATTGATTTATATCTAAAATAAAGTATTATAAATTAGGATATAGACGTAGTAATAAATAAAAAAATGCACTCGATAAGTGATTGACACAATTTAACTCATGAAAACAGGGATTCTATCTGCCATTTAAATGTAAAATTTTCTTTATTGACTGCTTTAGAATAAACTGAGTTGCTGTTGATAATGGGATTTATTACTTCCTCTTCACTTATATAGATTTATAATACTATAATCCAGGATGGTTGGAAGTAGTCAACAGGAAACCTTGAACTTAGGTTTAATGATAGTTAGCGTTTATCAGCAAAGTGTACCTAGGGTCTTCAAGAAATGGGTGTTTCATGTAAGATTAGAATTTGTTTCGCTCAACTTTCCAGTTCCCTGTATTACTGCTAACCTATTCAGATTGCAAGTGACGATACACAACTTTGGTTAGATAATGACAGCATGACTTACGATCTAATGAATGTCAGTTAGCTTTAAGTGTCATTAATGAAATAAATGTTCTACATTACTATTCAAAATTTCAATACTTTCATTCTACAAACTAGTAAGCCTATTCCAAGACAATTGTCATATAATTACATGGAGAAACAGTACAATGAATTTACATTTGAAAAAAGACCAAACCTTTGTATGGTAAAATGCAAAGTATAAAAACAGAACAGAACTTTACAATTATATGATAATGCATTTCTAGGAAGTAGTAAAAACAACCACAAAAGCTATTCTATTTAATTATGCCTTCTTTTTACATTAAATTTGTTCTTGTTTAGTTTTTTTTTCCTACAAAAACAAAAAACATCACATGTATACCAAGTAAAAAAGGTAGTTTAGATAGATTTTTATTTCCCTTTAGAAAACCCAATGATGATTTAATAGAAATCTATAAAACTGTCAGCTGATGAAAGAAAAACTCTAATAAATTAAAAAAAGAAGCACAAAAAGATTTAAACAATATAGATCAAAAATTTATAAATTCAACTACTGTAATGAATATTCATCTTTAAAGAGTAGAGATGCTTCAATGACAAAGATAATAATCAGTGAGTATTCAGTGCAATAGTTATCTGCGCTTTGTTGGTAAACATGATTTCATATCTGAAAATTATTTAAACTGATCTTATTCAATGGAACAATATATTTTTGAATTGTAAGACAAAATGAAATTATTCATCTGTTCATTTATTTTGCTTAAATCTAAAGTTTAATTAGGAAAGTTATACTTTGAAAACATTAAGTTTTAAACCATAAGTTTCTACTTTCGGCTTTTAGTTTCTTTGTGATAGAGGTCAACCCTAATCCAACATCACTTCAATCTTAATTGAGATATAAAGGATTTCTACCTAAATTTCATCAAAAATGTAGTTAGTAACAAGTTTTTTTCTAAAATACTTAGCAAATTATGAAGTTTAGCCGAAAAATAGCTATTGGAAACAGATGTACTTTTGACTAGTCCATTAACGCAAGTCCTAAATAAGAGGAAACACAAGTCCCGGATCAAATAGCCCTAACCAAATATCAAAAAATAATAAGTGAAGACAATAATATAACTTAAAATTGACGAATAACATACCTTAACACAGCAAACGGCATTCGTATTTCGATGACAGCACTTATGTACAACTGAAAAAGAGCCTTTATTGATTTCCTCCAGTAAGATATAATCGACTGAAAACGGTTTATATTTCACACCTGACAAGCCAGCTAAGCGAAGAAAACGTCTTGCCACTGTAGGAGTTAAAGGTGGAAGATCTTCTGGAACATGTGCTGGATTCGCACGATCTGTACATTACCGAAACAATAAAAAATGGTTGTATATATTGCAATCATCACCACACTTCTATATATACGTGATAGTTGAAGTACATAAAACAATTATCCACGAAAATTGCAATATATTTTGGAAACTCGAAACAATATTCTACTCATAAAAAAGTTATCAAAAATGAATCATCCACATCACATGAAAAACTATACGTTTGTCACATTCAATAATGATTGGTGACTGATTTTATAGTCTTCTCGTACACACATCATTATGAGTGCTGTCAAACAAGAAACTAAAACCTGTGCCAATCTGAAAGCAAGATATAAAGTTTAGGAGTATAGGAGTTTAGCAGTATAAAACTTCAGTCGACGACAAATCACAGACAATATTATTAATTATATAATTAAATACTTGTTTCTGTTCATTGTCAACCAAATCACTGTTCATGTTTTCACATCAAATGCTTCATTTACCCAATCTGAATTAGGTAAACCCATGTCTGATTGCTAATTGGTTTGAATCCCATACTTCTAGCTATTCCCTGGCATTTTTATAGCTCCGCGATCTAAGACTTAAACTTTTCTCCAAACCAATTCGTGTCTAAAGTAGTCAGCATCTATTGATATCGGTGATAGCATATCATATCGCCTCATTGTTTATGTTCATTAACGCCTAGATGAAGCAGATGTCCACCATATCCAATGTGATATTTTTCGTTGGTGAAATTTTCTTTGTGAATGTTTCATTTGCCTTTTGTCGCTCTAATTCTTCGGTTACCACAAAATATAATAGTGGCTGTGTTCGTTGAAAACTTCTACGTACTTGGACGATATCATCGATAAGCAATGAGGACCTGATGCAGATGTATTGGCACGGAATGGCAAAGCGAGGGCATAATTCCTGCAATTTAAGAACATCTGGTATTCAAAACAACCGCCAACCAATATTACAGCTAGAATCTTCAATAAAGACAGTAAGACTGTTTTAATGTACAAAACTGAAACTTGGAGAACTATCACAACCACTATCAAAAATGTACAGGTATTTCTAAGCAATTGTCCACCCAAATTATTTAATATCCGTTTGCCGGATATCATTAGCAACAACCTACTATGGCAAAGAACAAACCAGATCCAGTCGAAGAGGAAATTAGTAAAAGAAACTGGGAGTGGATAGGACATATATTGAGGAAATTATCAAACTGCATCACGAGGTAAGCATTAACTTGAAGTTCTCAAAGTAAAACTGATGGAGGCAAAAAAAAGTATACGTTGCGTCAGAAATTGAAGGCAGACATAAAAAAATAGCAACTGGAAACACCCGGGAAGGAGAGCTCAGAACGAAGTTAACGGTAGAATCCTGAGTAGTATTCTATGCTCCACAAAGAGTAAGTAAGTAAGTTTTGTTTTGTGAGTAACGTTGATTTTAAAGGGATTGAAGATCCTTATGATGGTTTCTGAGATATTTCTCGCATATGTTAGGGTGACAATATCACGGCTTTGGAGATTGGTTTCTTGGTAAATTGTTTATTGGTCATAGACCTTTTAATGACTTTGTTGTAGTATAAATTCCAACAAACGTTTATCTGAATAGTGTCTGAACACAAATTCTTTTTGTGTGCTGTTAGATTGTTACTGTTGCAATTCAGGATCTCATCCATTTGTTCACATAGGTATGAGCGGAATTTTTCAGATTATTAGTTATTATTATTTAGTTTACTGCTACTAATAATAATATTTAATGAAAAGAAATACAGAATTTATTTACTAAAAACGAAATTACTATGGCCAGCTATGTACATGAATACATAAATATAAATAGAACTATCTAGGTTAATATATATGAACATAAATTCATTATGATAAGTCAGTAAACATTAAGGAAATATGCATAAATATACATATAAATCACACAATTACATATATCGATAAAAGTGTGATACTGAAAAGACAATATTTAGTTAGATTTCTACCAATATACATACCATCATCGTGTCGAGAATTATAATTGAATTTCTCTTTCGGTGAACTCAAACAAGTGGTGTTCGTTCCATTCAATACTTCTTTATTAAGGTTGACATGATTGTTGCAACTATTTGTAATTGTTGTATTATGATCATTATTATTATGCTCTGCAAAAAATCCAGGCGCTACATAACTGAATTCACGAAACAATGCATGCGCTGATGCACTGGCTGGTGGACACGGTGAGTCTGTAATTTGAAAGCATTTGAAAAAAATATTAAAAAATTCTGCTTATGTAGAAATAGCTAGTGAACAACATTAATAATAACATCGTACAAATGTAAGGAAAAATAAATAATGGAGAATAAAGTATTTATGATTTGAAGAAAAACAAATATTGAATGTATCTATGTTATTGTGATCGATTGAAAGTACACTAGATCAGTTAGATGGTCTCTAAACAAAAAATTAATTCATGAAGGGGTGAAAAAAATTAAGTTTCCGACCATGTTTAACAGGAGTGGTGTTAAACATTATTTCTAACTGTTATTGATCTTTGTCATTAATTCAAATGATGACGCTTTGTCTGTTACAACCTGACTGAGTGAAATTGAAAAATACGTCTAGAAACATAATATACTTGTTGCCAACTCCTAACAAGAAGATTGAGTACCATAAAATCTATCGGATCATGTAATTTTAATTTGTATACATCGACTGCATAATCTAAGAAAAAATGTGAACCGGAGAAGAACACCGTGTAGAAAAGATCGACCCTAAAAATACACACCTCGACATATCCTACAGATATCCGTCTACGGTGATAAGGTCCCAACAAGTACGGAGCTTATACAAAAACTAACCACGAAAAGATAGTGTGTGACCGAATTCAAGCAGTTGTCCCTTAGGCACTGCGGTCACGTTTACAGGTCACCAAGACCACTTTAAATCCGATTTTCTTTTCAGGTACCACCAGAAGAACCCTTTCATGGTGTGGGCAGCCGGGAAGTAATAACCACCATTCATACCTTTAACAGCACCCAAGATCACCGTATTTATAATCAATCGCCCTCTTCAGTTCTTATTATTCCTCCTACATCGACTTTCAATCCATAACTTCGTCTTTCGGCTTCTTCCTCAAGTGTCACCAAAACCAACGATTCTAGTACGCGAAACACTGTCCCAGGTATACTGAAACCTTGCATCAAACTACTTATTGGAGCCTTCACATACATACCCTATGTGAAATGGGACAGCAGACCTCCTTGGCTAAAACCGAAGAATCTCATACAATTGATGCATGCTATGTCTCCGAATCACGTGTACAAGATCCCGGTATGGTCATTCACTTGATCTCACCTCGCCAAAATAAAAAGCCGACAAGATACACCTTCCGTTTATCTGGTGTGGGCATAACATTATGTACGAAAGCAAAACAAGCACTATTAGAATGGATCCCCGTTAACAGTCGACTGTGCTGTTAGACTAAATGGCTCCGTAAGAACTCGGAAGGATAGGGACAAACGTCGTTGCCTTTTCGTCGTTTCTGCCTACGCTCCGATTGACTGCAGCCTGGATAAAGTGAAAGAAGACTTTAACAGAAAGCCCTCTCAACTTCTTCATAAAGGTAAACACTCAAACATAGTAATCGTACTAAATGACTTTAATGCTCAGGTAGATAGCTTAAAAGAAACAGAAAGACATTTAGTTGGGTATTTTGGCATTCCGGTTCAGCGAACAGATTATAGTGATCATCTCTTGCAACTGTGCTCAGACAATCGTTTGTTTTTAGCATACGGAGAGAAAAAGTGTAACATGGCAGTAACCCCTGCCCCAAACCAACGATGGACTAAAATAGACAATATTGCCATCAGTCATCGTTGGAGAGGCTCGATAGAAGACTTTCGCTCGTACTGGAATACATGTTTACACTCTGATCATGCTTTAATACGAGCACGCACTTGCTTACGCCTCACTGGAGACAATAACTACACTAAGAAGACCCATTAGGATTGAACTGGAGGACGAGAAAGCCAAAAGTAAGTTCCAGGAACAAGTGATGTCCCATTTAAGCAGTTCTGTAAACGAGACTGACCCAGATGTTGCTTGGAAATATATACAAACAGCTGTGGAAACGGCAGCAGCATCTATTAATGATTTTAACCAAAGGGTTATGAAAAACCAATGGATTTCTTCTAAGTCTGCTGCAGTGATGGATACTCATAAACTCATCCCATTAGTCTGTAAACACGATCAAGAGTGAAAACAAATCAGATCTAGGTTCACCAAAAGTCTAAAAAACGATCGTGAGCAAAAGAAATGGAAAAGGCAGCGGCTGTAAACAACACCAGACAACTCTTCAGAATAAAAAAAGCCGGAATTAAGAAGTCAGGTGTAACCGAGGCGACCTCGGAAAAAGACAACACTTTTATCTGCTTTAAGTCCAGACGTTTAGAACTATGGGCGGAACACTTAAGAGAACAAATTAGCTGGCCTTCAGTTACTATACAGTCACTCACCATTATCAGTCTGAATGGTTCCCCGACTCTAGTTGAATTTCAAAAAGTTATAGCTAATCTGAAACGAGGAAGAGCAGCTAGTTCAAATGATTGGCTCCAGAGGTCTTTAAATATGATGGTTCAATTTCAGTGGTTAAGTTGACTAATATTTTGGCTAAAATCTGGGAGTCCGACGTAATACCATACAAATGGTCACAATCACTAATTGTCCCAATGTATAAGAAGGGGTCAAAATCATCCTGTGTTAACCATAGAGGGATTAGTTTGACTAATATCGTATCTAAAATACTAGCCTCAATAATTATCGGGCGCCTAACTAAGACTCATGAACTACAAACACGAGAAAATCAAGCCGGCTTATGACCTGGTCGTGGCTGCATTCACCACTTGTCAAATTTTAGAATACATAGATGCTTATCGGCGTCCGTCAATGATAGTTTTTCTTGATTCTGTAGACCAAGACGTTTTGTGTCAATGACTGTCATTTAAATGTGTACCTCAGAAATACATAAACCCTGTGAACGCTCATTACTCGAACACTACCCGTCGAGTCAAAGCTTATGGCGAACTGTCGTCTCATTTTACTACCCCAAGTAGTGTTCGGCAAGGCTGTCTACTATTTACATTTTTCTTTAACTTCATCATAGACCTACTGCCGGAAATAACACTCTCGTCGACTGGATTTTCCGGAATCGATCTCCTACCAGGAGGTCCGCTTATCGACTTACAATATCCAGATGACATAGTTCTGTTTGGTGAAGACGCTGATAAAATGCAGAGTCTTTTGGCAGCACTGAACAACAATGCCAGAATGTTTGGGATGCGTTTCTCCCCCTCTAAATGTAATTTGTTACTCTATGATTGGTTTGCGTCAACACCTGAACCAAGTATACAGAATAAAGTGGTAGAACGCGTCGACAACTTCACTTATCTTGGGAATCTGATCAGCTCTAATGGGTTGGTGTCTGACGAAATCCCTGCACGGATTCAGAAAGCTCGTTTGGCATTTGTCAACTTACGTTATCCATGGCGAAGGTGAGATATCCGTCTACCGATTAACGAACGAGCATATTGCGCAGCAGTTCATTGTTTTCTATCTCACAGTTGGAGACTCTGTGTGACGTGGTTTAGAATCAATCATAATGGCGTTGGTGTATACACTCTTTATCTTCTCTTAAATCGTGAGATTAAAATCACTTCATATCTGTCTTCCTTCTTGTGCTATATCCTCATATACAATACTTCTTTTATATATTACCGACACTGAATTAACTACTTTTATGAATTCGGTGTTCATCTTGTTGTGTTAATGAGGTTTTGGCAACTTGGACCGATGCATGTATGTGCCTGGTCCTACATTGTAGCTGACTGACTGACCGCGTATATCAAAAACCTGTTCAATAAACAACAAAAGTATCTACGAAACCAACTTCTCAAAAATGCACAACTATATTCCTCAATACAACAGGAATGAGCACAACACTTAACTACAAAATACTTTTTGCTGTAATTCAAAAAGTTCACATTTTCAACTTTAATCGATTTAAAAAGTTACTCTCAAGTACTATCAAAGTTTATCATTGTAATTTGATAAATTGTCCAAAAATTTACTGCGTCATATCAAGCGTGAATATTAAAATTTAGCACTTTAATTTATAAATTATATAGATATATATATATATATATATATATATATATATATATATCCACTTCTGTTAATAACTCATCATAAAAAATTGTAACTCTGTTATAAACATTGCAGCAAATACCTACCATGTGGTGTACGTGATGTATATTCTGAATCGAAATTTAAGATATCATTAATTGATGAGCAAGGAGGTTTAAATGGTGGTGGAATACAACCATTCAATAAATCATCCCAATTGATTGTATTGAAAAATTCATGATTTTTTAAATGTTCAAATCCTTCAGGTCCATATCCTAGAATGGGAAAACAAATTGATATAGAGAAAAAGAACTTCAAACTTAACAATAAACAAAATATTTATTTGAAAGACCCATGACATTAATTAATTAACAGGAATTGATATTTAAATAATCTATTTTGTGGAGTTAGGGTTTTTATGGTTTGACAAATAAACTTGTAAACACTATGGTCATTATCAATTCAAAGAAAAATTATCTTGATAAAGAAACACTATAACTACAAACACAAAGAAATGGATGTAGAACATACGATTCTCGACACATAATGATAATAATAATAGTAAAAGTCTCAAGAAGGCTCACCGTTATATGTAAATGTTGATCAAGTGCACTGAATAGTTGTCTATGTTCAAACTAATCAGATTCACCACTGAATGCAGTCAATACAGCAAATCAGTTACTAAGTTTGTTGGCTAAGCTCTGACAAAACTCTTAAGAAGTTCATGAAGTCTTGAGAATTCTCTATCGCCACTAACACTGTTAGTATCTATACTATTTTGCAACCAACCGACTGAAGAAAACAACCAATTCTGATTGGACCAAACGTCTCAAGGATATCCCTGAAGTTTTCAAGAGTGATTCAGAGTCAAAATTAATATCAACATCCTGTTTTTATGAAAACTTATAATGTGCATAATTTTTTGTGCCTTCTAATTGCTGATTTTCACAGTCCGAATGATTAATGACGTAGTATATTTAGGAAGAATGTCTGTGCACGAGTTGAGTCAAATATTTAGGGATAGATTCCTTTTATGAAAGATTACTCTCCCAACTTCCCGGACATAGCTATATTGAATTTCATTCCATTTTCAGAACGTAAAGTAGTCACTTAACGGTAAAAAGGGTAAACGTTGGGGACAATAAAGCATGAAACAACAACAAGATAGCCGAAGAGTCGAACTTTTAACAACTTCCACAAGTGTTTTGAGAAATGGAAAGAAAAGGTAGTACAAATGTATCCTCAAAAATTGGCAATATTTTGAATAAGGAAATATTGATATGTCGTGAAATTTGTAAAAATATTATCACCCCAGTTTGCGTATTTACTGAACAGACTATATCAAATTCAAAAGTAGGTAAGCGGTATCACAAAACATTTATACACTTTACTGCATATACTTAAACAGCATTAACTATAAATCTCCTACTATCCTGATAATTATTTATATTTCACTGATTCTGTAGAATTTCTAAATTCACAACGCTAACCAAAATGACCACTTTAACTCCGCCACAGAAGTTTAGGATTCCTCATATATAATAGTTATGATACATGGTAAAAGTCAAGATTATTCGGAAGAGTCGGTTCAAGATCTTTGATCAGTAGCCCATGCCTCCAAGAGAGATAACAAGCTTGAGCAAGTAAATGGTCATATATAAAAACACACGTATATATATATATACCTAAGGATTGAAACAAAATTATCACATGTAGAAAGTAATCATACGGATAAATAGAAACGGCAATCAACTAATGAAATGATAATTTAATAAGTGTAAAATCTGTTAGATAACTAATTCACTAACAGCTTTCTTCTTACCTAGCCGATTCGATGGGGTTCGCTTGAAAAGAGCACGTAGTAAACTTTGAGCTGAAGGACTAAGAAACTGTGGCATTGATAATTTTGCTCTAAACAACAAAACCAAACCAAATTTAGTATTTTAAAAATGGCAACACAAAATAAAACATTCATTTTGCAATTGATTTATCTAGTTATTTAATAAGTTTGTTTTTCGCAACAAAATTAACTCGTATCAACGTATTTTCATTATCGTTTCGCGATAGTTCATAAAAAAGTAGATTTACATAATCAGGTAAATTAGTGGAAATTCCTTTTCTGTTTAGTTCAATCAAACAGATTTAAATGCCAAATCTATGGCGTAAATTGGCTTGATTTATGTTTATTGGTACAGTAAAAAAATGTAGTGTATTCATTCCATTTTGATTCGTATACAGTTAAAAACTAGTGTGCACTAAACACAATAAACTACAGTCAAAATGTTTATCATTTCGTAAGAAAACTAATCACAGTTTGTCTGAATAACCTATTTAGCTAAAACAAAGTAAGTATCTAAAATCATAAACCTGAGGCTACTCTTAGAGCATTTCAAAAGTGTTACAAAGTGAAAGTCAACAATTAAGCGAGATATTAGAAGACAAATGAAACCCAACATGAATTGATGAGAGAAAACAATTTGTCTTAAAATTTAATGTTATATGATACAATATATATTGATAATGTCACTATGGGATACGTACTCTTTTGACATACAACATGTCTATTTTCCCGGTCATTAAAACTAGAAAACTTCAGCAGTGCGCATCCACGGTTCCGCTGTGGTGTAGGTTACTGATATCCACATAAGCAGTATATGGTGATGGTCGTGCATTGAATGTATTTCAGTAGAAGATCGATAAGGAGAGAACGGGAACGGTACGCAATGGGTACTAAAATGCATGAACAGTTATAATCGGAGACTATGGGCGGATATTTGCAGAAGGAATAGTCGAATTGAGACAATTGATTGTGATTTTGCAAATTAACCGTTCACTATATGGTTCTCATATTTTAATAAGATATTTTGTAACGTTGTGCTAAAATACATTTGATTGTCTCCACCCGTGTTCTTGTTCACTACACCTCATGTGGGACTCGAACCCAGGACCTCCGGTCACTAATTATAACTATTTCATTGTAATACTTTTCGAAACATTCTATTCAATGGTGTACATTTAGAAAATGTTTCTCAGCAAAATTGTCAAAGTAAAAGTTAGCACTTGAATAATTAAATAAAATCAATGGATAAGTACACTTCAGTTATTGATGAATTTATAATAAGAAAAAACTTAACATTTAAACAACTATACATAAAAATATTCTACAATGCTTTTTTCTAATTATGTACAGAATAACAAAACATAAAATACCCAATTGTACCAAAAAAATATTTTTAACATATTCTATATAATAAACAGATAAAAATTTAAGTCATTGAAATTAACTCTTTGATTTCATTTAATTTACTAATATATAAACCTGTAGAAATTGTATTTCTGACACATAAATATTTCTTTTCTTTTTTCTTTAGAAAAAAATAACATTTTATATACTTTTAAATACTTTGCAATTTTTTCTGTTATGCTTAGTTAGTACAATACAACATTGTTATGTTAGAAAATACAATTTAGGAATTTTCATAGTTGAAATCATGAGTCAATTGAAGATAGACTACTATGGAAAACCTGGAAGCACTGAACAGTCGTTTCGTGCTATTGCGGGACTCCTCAGTAGTGCGTATCCACGATCTCACACTAGCGAGATTCGAACCCAGGACCTACCAGTCTCGAGCCAGAGCCCTTAACCGATAGACCACTGAGCCGGTATCCAACGTTGTTCATGTCTAACTTCAACCAATCCACGAAGTTTGAGAAACCGTTTACTTATTGTCTTCAGTGACTTGTTATCTCATAACAGACGTGGTTGAACTCCACTGGTCACTGCTTCTCACTAGAACTCCAGGACATATATCTTGAAGTCAGTCAATTTAGGAAGTAAAAAAATCTAAGTTCTATAGAAATTATACCTGGTAAAATAAATCACTTATTCTTTTCTTAAAAATGTTGAGATGAACAACGCAAATTACATGTGCAGTGTTAAGTACGTGATATTTTACTGATGAATAGGAATTTAATGATTATCAGATGGTAATACCAACAATTACTAGTCGATAAAAATTGTGTTGTAATGAATTGAAAACATGTTTATGAATACAAAGATGTAGTTGGTAATGAACATACAAAAGTGATTATTTTAGGATCAAGAAACATTTCTCAATAAGAAGAGCAGTATGTTTGAAACAATTAATTGTAATGAAGCTATTACGTGACTCGCATAAAAACTTATAATGGCAGCGCAATGGGAATGTTTTTTCTGGTGGGGCCATCAAACGATATGCTCTACAAAACAATAACTATATTTCACAGATAAGGAAAAGTACAAAGTAAACAGTCAAATGAAAATATTCTGACGCAAAATTTTAATTTTTGTCTAGGTTCATTTGAAGGTATCAATTAAGTGAACATTAAGAAAAGAAACCCATTTTATGGTAACCATTTGGTTTTAATTCCAAAATCCATTTTGAATCAGTGGCTTGCGTAATTCTTAGGATTACAGTCTTAAGAATCAGATACCAAGACAGATTTTAGCCACATGCATTCATTCTTAGGTACAAATGATTATTTCATAAGCTGACCATATATCAACTTATTGCAGTTAATCTTATGATCCATGAAAAGTTTCAAACTAAAAGCCACTCTCATGAAAGTAATTACTACTGACGAACGACACAATTCAAACAATATACAACTGGTAACTTAACTCTCACATGTTTGGAGTGAAACGGCATTGTACACTTTTATTTTAAGATACATAAATAAGTTGTCATATTGTTACATACAATCAGTTTAGAATTATCGTGTAATTATTCAGCGGTACAATTATTATCCTGTGACGCTTGATTTCTACCAGTTCAATTACTATGATGATGCTATTGCCTATATTGTAAAAGAAAGCTACATTTCAACAGTGAGTTGGAAATACTACAGTTATAAACGTCTTTATTAAAAAATTTTGCGAGCCATATATGGTATACAATACATTAAGACAATATTGTCCCCATGTCACTCAGTTAGCCATACATGACGTCGAACTTGAAACTTATGTATATCGGTTCAAGTTGTCATACCACACTAGCACAGTGTGATAAAATTGTCAGAACTAATTCAAGAGTAGTAGAAGTATGAAAGATGCCAGTACTTGTAGAAAAGATAAAGTATTTACGACAATACTAGACACTTTATTCAAGTCTCAGTAATTTAAATCACTTAACAAATGAGAGAAGAATCTTAGACAAAACACCACTTTTCATCAAACTCATATGAGAACAATGTCTATTCTGAATCGTTAGTTATTAATAAGGATTTTGATGTTACAGTTGGATATTACTTTATATGAGGATGAAAGAATAAAGTCTCCTTTCCGTGCCAAGAAATAAAAAGGCTGAACAATGGTTTATTATTAGTTATAATCATTAAATCTGTTAGTAGAATCATAAACACCAGTGATTAAATCTCCTGATTCTCCAAGTGAAAAACGTCCATTGACAGTTTATCGTTTCCTTAAATTGTTGACTTTATTTGAATAATTTATGTTCCATTTGTTAAATTGTTATCACTGTACCAATTTGCAGTAGAGAAATGTAAGTGAAGACTCCATTATGTTAGACTCTGCTTTACTTGACTACACACTAATTTAAGGAAGTTGTAAACAGAAAGTCTACTGTTAGGTAGTTGGTAGGAAACTCATGAGCAGTAAGTTAGTAGCTGCACAGATAGAAGATTAGTGGTAATGTCTCAGACTGTGAAGTTGAGTGGGGTGAGTACGGATCCTACAGGGAGCATTAATGTCCTCAAGATTGCAAAGATTCTTTATTAATAGGGTTTCCTCTTGATTACTTATAACTATATAAAATCAAAACATATTGCACACGAAGTCGAGCACTTTGAATAGCGGCCACACTGCAGCTTGATCACATGAATTATAAACAGTTATGAAATCTAGGTAAATCTTCTTTGCAGTTTGAATCTACAACCGAAATTGACTCTTACCAGTATTTAACTGATGCAATAATGTACATCGTTTTACAAAAGAGTATCCAAGAAGAACGCAAATTGTATTAGAGATAATTTGTTGTGAGAATAAAACTAATTAGGGACAAAGGAGCGAACATTTTATCTATAATTCGTCAGTCTATGTTGATTATTTCATTGAAATTATTAAAATTATTATTTAAAATATACCTTGATATGATAAGAAAATTATTAATGTTATTTTGTTATAATGTATACACATTTTGAATATTTACTTATACTATATGACTAAACTGGTTTCAATTGCATTAAATACAGAAGTTTTCCAAACTTATCCATTTAAATTAATTATTAGTAAATTAGCCTAGAAAAAAGTCAACATTTTCAATAATTCTAACAAATCAATCCAATTAATCATTCTGTGAAGTTTGGGTATACTAAAAAAAGTCAGTTATTAAATACAAAACCTACAGTTTGAGACATATATGCATTGAATTAAGTTATCATTGCCAATGTAAGAAGTAAAACGATGATTCGCATAAATTTACTAATATTAATACATAAAGAAGCAATTTTTCATTAAGAATAATTCACTCAACACAGGTTTACGAGCACAGGTAACACATGTACATGGTCGTTATTTGAGACGTTTGACGTTTGTCTTTCGAAAAAAGCAGATTTTCAAAAATATAAAAACGTTTAGCATGTTGTACAAATATATTTAGTATTAGATATATACAGAAGATCAATGAATTGGTTTTTATGCCTCTGGTAGAAATTGTTCAGTTTAGTTTGTACTTTGTGACTTTTTGTTTTTCTGTACATTGAATTGTCTCCCGTTTTATTCTAGATATCCTGTTTCAGTTACTTGCAGCTTTTTTCCCCAATTATCTGCTACTAATATCAATGACCATCAGATTTTAATTCACTGCTGGTGTAAAACAAAAATCCATATGTATAAATGTCACAGCCCTTGTTTTGTATTCTCTTTTAAAAAAACAAACCTCTCTACGTGACTATTACAATACTTTCTCTTTAACTGAATGAGTTGAGAATATTGAGAACCACTGTCGACTGCACTTTCCTACTTATGTATATTTTTTTGTTTCTAAGTTTTATTTCGCATTGTTTGGTGAATATATCGCAAATGCAACTCATTTATAATCTATTATAAATTATTGCGTGACATGTAAACTATTATATTTCAGTAGGTATCGTTTACCTACTGAAATATAATAGTTAGGTATTGCAGGTATTTTTTGCCCCAAATGCCCTGGTACGGCCAAAAGTCGGGAGAGTCCGCTCTCCCTCTCGAAATGCTCTCATATGGCCACGCGTATACAGCCTCTGACAGGGAAGTTCTACTCACTGCCTTCTCGTGGCACAACTGTTGTTTACGAAATTGAGATGACGAAGAGCGAATGTCCGGCTCTTTAACCGGGTTGGTGGACACGGAAAGTTCACCTAGGGGAGTTGGAAAACTCTCATTTCAATAAATGGTGCACATGGGCTCCAGTATCCTGAAGGAACAAATGGCATATGAATCAATCGTTGGTCACCGGCCACCATGAGACTGTATCTCCTCACGACGCTCCACTGCCTTGTGGATCAGATCTTTAGGTCAAAGGCTCTGGGTGAGATCCCCTAAGAAAACTACCTGTTTCTGTTTAGGCACCTGGGCAGTATTCCAACCGTGATACAAATCGAATGATTTATGTGATGCATATATATTTGATGCCCCCTTGTACCAATATTTATATGTTTAAATAAATAAATAAGTAAGGTATTGTTTACAAACTTAGACATAAAGAATATGAATATCTACGTTATCTCCAGTTTTAGAGCATTCTTTCTAAGACTCTGAACTAAAACTTATTCACACTATCTCTGAGACTGTATTTCGAGATGTGAATTAGTTTTTGATTGATTCATATGTGAATATTCATATGCATGTGATCATATTTAACGATAAAATAAATCAACCTGTTACAAACAGTGAAAAACACATGTTAAAATACATTTCCATTATTTATGTTATATGATAGACTTATCAATAATATTTGTAAAGCATTTAAAAAAATATCCTTTTTATATAACTTACAAATGTATTTAGCAAACAAAGTATCAAAACAATGGATATTTCAGTAGTATTAATAATTCACAAGGAATTTTATGAATAATAAATATTGAATTTTGAGTATTTTACTGTCTACTTTAAAATGAACAAATTATAATTTTGATGCCTAATTCATAAAACGCAAAACATGGTCATGATTTATAGAGAAAATTACAGTGTGTGAATTGTTCGTTAAATATCTTTTTCTATTGAAATAAAATCACATTAAACGGTTAATGACTTTAGACTTCAAATAAAAGATATGTGTAGAGAATGAGATCATAGAACAAATGTTGAAATTGAGACTCAATTGATAACACATAATTTAAACATACTGCTAAATTTGTAGTTATCAATATAATAATTACAAAATTGGAAAACAAAAAAAAGCTGAATCTGTTTTACATGTTAGACTATCTGACCCTTGAAGAATGTTAACCTCTAAATGATAGCGGCGGATAACATGACTGTGTATGATCAGATAAAATATCGCAAATGCCTTAATAGCTACATCAACAGATGAGAACAAAGGAAACAACAATATGATTGCATATTTATTATCCCTCATCAAGATTCCATGAATCCATCATTAAAAGGATTAATTTTACTGTTTAAGTAAGACATGTATTTACCAATTTTACACACAGGCCGTGTACAGTGTACAAATATTTTTGTATTTCGTGTACCAATAATCTTGTAACATTTCGTACTAAAAGTCAAACTAAGAAACCTTTAAAACATAAAATTCAGTTACATTATTCAGATTTTCAAGTTATCAATACACTTTCGATGTCATGTAATCTGACTTTGAGGAAAAAAACAATTTGGAACGAATAATTACTCAAAATTATCTTAACGCTTATATAGACTTTATTGACTGGGAAAAATTTTTCATAAACTAGCTGTTCTCTACTAAGACGATTATTCTCAACATATTAGACAGGAAACAGTTGGATAAACTATCCAACTATATATATATATATATATATATATATATATATATATATGCTTAAGAACAGATCAAAATGATAAATAGTATGAATTAGCAACCAAAAACCTACAAACGAACATAAAGTGAAACTTGTGATGAGATAATTAGAAAATATTATTCTCCTAGTCATTTAGATCCGACAATCCAATCCCTTAATTAAGTTGATAAAGACAAAAACCAAACATTAAATTGATTATTTCGTAAAAACAATTAAAAGTTCATTCAGTTATTAAAATACACATACCATAACATAAATCAATTAATTTATGGAATAAAAGATTGTTTTCATGCTTTTAGTAAAAATAATGTGTTTACTGTCGTGTTTTCCCGTTAATGCTAGAAAGTGGGAAGATTTCAAGGCCAGTTGGCTACTTATACAAAGTTAATTCATACTGGTGATAGCAAATAACAATATGCATATTTAGCTTTTGTGTGTGTGTGACGCATATGTATTAAACGTCCCTTTGTACTAATACTTATGTGTTTAAATAAATAAAAATAAATTATTATCCTTGTTTGAAGACAACTAATACGTTTTCTTCATTATCATCAAACACTGACTTTTTATTGAAAATACGTCATTATTAGTTTACTTACTTTAAAATCATTTGCATTGTATCTTTTCTACTCTCACTATGAAAAGGCAGCATACCAGTAAGTAATTCATACATAAGTACCCCGAAACTCCACCAGTCGGCAGCTGTACCATGTCCACGTCTACTTACAACTTCTGGAGCCATATATTCAACCGTTCCACAAAATGAATACGTTCGATCACCAGCTGATTCGAAAATTGACTCCTTTGATAGGCCAAAATCAGTTAAACGCACATGACCATCTTCATTCAGTAGAACACTTTATTAATTTGTTAAAAAGAGCACAAAAAAGTCCTAGTTCATTAAACAATATGAAATCACCAGGAGAACTGTCATAAATAGAAAGGAATCAATTACACTAATTTATTTTATAATTATAAAACCTTTATTAGTGAAATAAATAAAATTTAATTTAAAATTTTATAGTATATTTCAAAGCACAGCATAAACTGAACCAAAAATAAGTTATTGGTTATTTCCCTGAAGCGGGCAATTACGATAGCTATCGTTACACTTAAATCTGAAGTTGGAATACTCATAGATTGGAATGAAATATCAAGCAAAGCGCACAATTATTTACGATAGTAAAAACAAACAAATTGGAACATTCATTAGTATTTGCTCATTGAATCCAGTACGAAAATAATTTTCCTGTAAAAAGATATCGCTATCAATTGATAATCTATTGAAAACAATTAATGATTTTATTGAGAACACAGAAATATGGATTAGGCAACCAATGAAATCTAGGAGGTACCGGATAGGTGTGACGTCCCAGAATGGGACTCCATAGCAATGTGCATTCACGATCTTGCCAGGGATTGAACCAAGGATTTTAGTTCTCATGGCTGAGTCCCATATTAGAATGAATCAGCTGCTCAGTGGTTCCTGATTTTTCATGGTTGCTCAAGTTGGGTTGTTTCGTCATCTCAATAATACCTAACAATCTTCACTGACCCCTGTACTGATAACAAATAACTTCCAAATGTAACTGGCTGTTACCTGATGTATATAATACCAAGCCAATATTTGATTTCTGTGGCGCTGATTTCTTTTGTACTGACATGGAAGTTAGACAACATATACATCTTCAATAAGTAGTCCCCAAATGTCCTGGTACGGCCAAAAGTCGGGAGAGTCCGCTCTCCCTCTCGAAATGCTCTCATATGGCCACGCGTATACAGCCTCTGACAGGGAAGTTCTACTCACTGCCTTCTCGTGGCACAACTGTTGTTTACGAAATTGAGAGGACGAAAAGCGAATGTCCGGCTCTTTAACCGGGTTGGTGGACACGGAAAGTTCACCTAGGGGAGTTGGAAAACTCTCATTTCAATAAATGGTGCACATGGGCTCCAGTATCCTGAAGGAACAAATGGCATATGAATCAATCGTTGGTCACCGGCCACCATGAGACTGTATCTCCTCACGACGCTCCACTGCCTTGTGGATCAGATCTTTAGGTCAAAGGCTCTGGGTGTGATCCCCTAAGAAAACTACCTGCTTCAGTTTGAGCACCTGGGCAGTATCACAGCCCTCACACTAATCAAATGAAATTTGTGCGGTGCATATGTATCTGGTGCTTCCTTGTACCAATATTTATGTGTTTAAATAAATTAAAAAAACAAATCAATAGTTAGCGCAAAACAAGATCAGAATAACTAGTAAAAACGATATAAATCGCTAGCCAAAGATCTTAAACACCGTATACTGAGAAATTTATGAGGTCGAATGGTTCGATAGTAAAATTGACGAGTGAACACAGTATGGAATTCACTCCAGCATCAAAACCAGAAGCATGAAAATGCACTCCCAATCAGAAGCGATGTAGAAACCTAGAATCAACACGTATATGTACAAGTTGCTATACATCATCAAAACAACAATCTGAGATCATTGAGATTACCATCGGGACAAAAATAAAAGCGACACCAGTGATACTAAAAATAACTTCAGAACTTTAACTACTACTGCTCGTAAAAGCTTATTTTTCCACGAAACATTCGTTTTAGTTTACATACATTATCACTATGCCTAAAGATAATTAATACTCAAAAGTTCTGGGCCAAAATTGTGCATATGATAAGACAACTGGCTACTTTTACCCAAAATCGTTTTTCTAACGAGCAACTACGACATAAACCTTCACAAAAACTAGTAGTGATTTGTTTTCTCCAGTCTTCTAAAATCATGCAAAAAATTTAGTAAAGATCGAAATGTTTTACGATGGTGGAGATTTGTAGCTCAGGTGGATGATTTTGGTGGAGCTTTCCTCCAGCTCAGAGAATAAAACACCAATATGTTTTACGAGGATATGTAAATGTAGAAAAAACTGCAGAATAATAAAATGTTTAAAGCCCCGAGGAAGTGAAACTGGCTATTAGAAAACCTGACATGAGATAAATTAAAGCTTAAAACAGGTTCACTAATATAGTCATATCAAATGCAAATGTTAGCACATAAAACTTTATGTTACATGTCTCAGAGAAAACTGGATCGTCTGAAAACAGCTGAACTACATGAGTAGCAACACTATAACACTAACCAAGCAATGAACACAAAATCTGTGGCATGGAAACCTCGAAGGCTTTACCTGACATTAAACACAAAAATTAATTGAGTATTTAATGTCATCATAAACGTCAAACAAGAATGCACTGCACGAGCACATGTTTATATCCTAACACCTTATGATTACAGTTGTTATTTTGCATTCTTTGGACGAGTGTACAAAAGATACATTTCCGGCTTCACTCTAGAATATTTGCACATCTAATAAACTTATAAATTTTGTCTGAAACAAATATAAGTTAAGAGCTCTTAAAACATCCTTATGGTTTTCACTTAAAATATTTTGAATACTAGGACTCTAAACAATAAGACATATTTCTGAGTTAAATATCAATACAAATTCGAAAGTTTTCTAAAGACTTACTTTTCAGGTTTTAAATCTCTATAAACTATCCCGTGACTGTGTAAATAGTTAAGAGCCAATGCGATTTCAGCTAAATAGAATTTCACATCGTCTTCTGTAAACATGTACTTTATGTTAACATAGAATAATGGAAACCTAAAGTTACCTCTTTGGATAAGCGGGAGAAAAGATCCCCTCCCCTAAGAAATTCCAGGATAAGATACACCTTTCCCTCAGTTTGAAAAGCTAAGATAGTGAAATGAAACGAATGAGCATACCATAATGCAAATCAACAATGTATGGATGTTTAATTCTAGTTAGAATATCTCTTTCTAACTTTGTCCTCAATCTATCACGAACTGCGAGTTCAGTCGAAATATCAACATTTCAAACCTTTCAAAACAGCCTTCTTTAGCACTTTCATTGCATACAGAGTTCCTTTATCCTTTCCATTGTTTTTCCTCACCAGAAATACCTGTACCGTAAGTAAGATTGTTGAGAACGACAATACCTTTCCAAAAGACCCTTGACCGATGACATAAAGTAAATCAAAACATGATGGATCGACTTTTTCTGTATTATGAGCTAAGTTCTCAATATTCACTTCAACCTCGGCAACATCAACCTAATACTGCTAAAGAATTAAAAAAAATATAAACCTTTTGGCAGCCAACGTCCGGTGCATCATCTATAGATATGCACTTTAACTATCCATAATGACAGTGATTCAATAAACATACCTCATTTGTGACATCGCTTGCCTTCAGGAATGGTTGACCTAGATGAGCAAGCGGCATCTCATTGATTACACATTCGAAAAAGCGCACATAATATTATAGATACACTTCACTATTGGACTTTAAAAACTTTTCATGTTTTAAGTAGCAGATTTACTATCTTCAGACTTTGGTGGGCTTAGATGAAAGTTTCTTCTGGAATGAAAGAAATTTTTCATTATCCTGATCATCTTTTAAAGCTATGAAATTTGGCGATCACAGAGCCTTATCGAAACTACTGGCAAGTTGTGACAAATGATTGACATATTGCTTGTAGAAGTCTTGTCATGGTAATGTCCTCCCGTGTTTTTTTCATCTCAAGGTTTATTGAACTTGAAATTTTGAATGATTTCCTAAAGAATGAGGTAGTCACATAATATATCACAAACTTATCTCCCCTCATATATAATTCCATACTAGGTAGTTCGCAAAAGTAAAGCTCTCAAATTGATCATCTTTTTCTTTTTTAGAGATTATTAGTTTTAGTTCCTACTTTCTTAGGCTAAATACGACAAATAATTCTTTCCGAAAAAGAAATGGACAAGGTAAAGCGACTGCTCGTAAATGAAACCATGCTATTAGGCATGCATACTATGTGTAGATTCAAAAATAAAGACTCAGCTTCCTCTTCACTGTAGTTTAAATGCATCACTTCTGAGAGTACGATCACCACACAACCGAGTACTATGTCCTCCAACAGAAGAATGTAGCTTCAGAAATCTTACTAATAGAAACGGTTTGTTTAAATAACGCATAGTTGACTCATCAAGGTAGAAAAGCATCTTCCGCAGTTTTTGCTCATGTGAAACGTGTTATGGTGTGCATCGTTAAATCAATATTTCTCGGCTAAACGCAAACTTCAGTTCATTTTGAATCGTTTATGCACACATTTCATGGCATATAATTTTGGGATCAATGCTTCGTTTGTGAGATTGTTACGTCAGCCTTATTCATGCCTTACAAGTCAACGAAACGTGACATAATTATGGTCCTATTGCGCAAACGGGGCCACGATGATGTATTTTTAAAATTAGAACTGAGTTATTTCACATGTGAAAGAAACAAGCAATTAACAAAATCACCGCATGAGTTAATGTTAATATCTTGCAATCATTTTTTAAAATGATAAAATCTGCACTATAGTACAACCTGGGTGAGATCGTACCTGCAAGATTTTATGGTTTCAACCATATTAAAATGACGTTTTCTTCATAATATATCATTAAACTCAGAGCTCGTTGGCTTATAAAGAAAAGATGTAGCCAAGAAAAGCTTTAATGAATTACTAGCATACAGTAGTAGTATACATTAGTATTTATTCAGCGCCGCAGAAACTCAAGAATTTCATACAGTTTCAGTTGTGGCTAAACATACTTACCACTAACGAACTGGTTAGTTGGCTTAAGAGTACAGTTTGTCAATATTATTGACAATCATCATGCAAATTTATATAAATAAATAGTTCTTCACATGGAAAATTGAATGCAATGAGTAAACTGTAGTATACGATTCCAAAGTTGTCTCATTCAGTGAAGATTCCCTTAAATTACCAAGACCAGAGAATTAATGGCAACCCTAAGTAAGAGTGACCATCTAGTTCAAAAACTTGCTTTCCATACAAATGTCGACAAAATCATGTCAGTTGAAGCCAAAACAAACGTTCGAAAAGCAAATTTTAGAGAAATAAAAGTTCGGGGCTTCAAAATGATCTTTAGAAACCTCGTAAACGTTCTAGAATTTTGCAGCAGACATTAAATATTTCAAAAGGGTTTATGTTTTATGATTTTCGCGAGGTTACATATGCATAACACGGTGAATAACATTGAGCTATCTGTTGTAGATCCGACTGAACTTCTTTTTTGCCTTAAGAAATATGCAGGATGCAAGTTGCCATACCTCATTAGCACAAAAAGATGAACACCAAATTCATGGAACCAGTTACTTCAGTGGTAGAAATATACATGAAACAAAAGTTGTGCATAAGGATATGATACAGGAAGAAGAAATTAGTTCGTAAAAAAATGTAAGGAGCAATTTAAATGTCACAGTTTAAAGGAAGGCAAAGAGTGTATACACCTTCACCATTGTTAGTGGTTCTGAGTCATGTCACACAGAGTCTCCAACCACTGGTTATGATAGTCACGTGGACTTCAATAGAGTAGTCTTAATCTGCCAACATGGCTCAGACTAGAAGTTAGTGACTTCAAGCACTGATGACACTCTCTTCCAACTATCGCCAATACTAGCCAGCATAGGGGGTCGTGGTAATCGGTGTTCAGTCGATGAAGATTCACGACCTCATCAACTGATTTACCATCATTCCCTAAAACCCTGCAACTAACCTCACTATTTCTTACCCGATGATCCCAGCAGATGCGAGCTATATTTCTGAGAAATCTGTGATCAAATACTAGTAACTTAGGAATATCTTCTACCCACAGTGGCCTGGATTTAAAACCATAAGGTAGAAAAGAACGAACTGCTGCGCAATATACTCGTTTGTTAATCGATAAACGGATGTCTCATCTTCTACATGGATGATGTAAGTTGGCGAGCTTTCGTCAGACACCAACCCATTATGTTTGATGAGATTCCCAAGAAAGGTGAAGTTGTCGATTCGTTCTACCCCTTTATTCTGTATGCTTAGTTCAGGTGTTGATGCAGGCCAATCCTGAAGCAGCAACGTTCATTTGGAAGATGTATCAAAATGGTCGCAGAAACAAATATAATCGAATGACCGAACAAGAGTGTAGTTTAAACATCCATCATCCTCCGTTGCCAAATATATAATCGAAACAGGCCATGGGATTGATCTTAACTTGGCTTTTGTTGTGTTGTATAAAAGTGTAAAAGGGCGTATACTAAGGTATATTGAAGCCTTAGTCATAGGAAAATTCACGCTCTCTTAGTGTAATATTAGCTTATTATCCAGAGTGATTCGGTTTCGGATAGTTTTAACACTATTGTTATTATTATTATAACTATCACTGTCTCTTCTTACCCCCCACCTCCAGTCTAGTGTAATAGATCCTCATAACGCCTGAACCCTAAGGCAAAAATAACATTAGAATCGTGATCGTAGTGCGATTCAGCAGTAGTGTTTGCGATGTCATCAATTGACGGTGCAGTAGTAGGACTAGATGTGCTATAATGTTAAGTAGACACAATTTTCGTATATACTAACATCTGGATTAGTTCCACCTAGTCCTCCAGCAATAACTCCACTTTTTCAGGACCCATGCTTGCACCAGCCTCGTCGCCAGTGGTATGTGAAGAGATTACGAGATTACCTAAACCGGCGAACTGAACGGAAGCCAGCAACAAAACAACAGGACAGGCTAAGTTATTTCACTCCACCCAAACCCTGCTAACTAAAGATAAGACCAGAGCTAGCCTGAATGCACAACAGCGAAGATATGTCCTTGGAAAATGTCACAAAATAGCTTACTTAAAGAGGAATCAACCCGGGGGCATTTAAGGTTCTTCATCGTGGGCAACACAAAGCGAAGGTAAAAGTTGGCGCTTTTGGTGCGAAAATGAGTGTTTACCAATTTGTTTCTATGGATCTGGAACCATAAGCAATTACGGTTGAGTAATTTAAGGGCATTATCTCTATTAGCCGCATAAAGTGGCAATGTCTGGAACCACCTACGGCCAACACGTTTTGATGATCTGAAGCGTTTTACGGTCGAGCAGGTTTTGTTTGTGGCCTACAGACTTCTTTTTCATAAGCCGCGTTGGAGGTTTCATTTTCAAACCTGTATGTTTTGACGAAGCCTTAAGAGTTATTTAGCAGCGATTCGCCACTTTCCTTGTGAAGGATATGATCGGTAGCACAAATAGGTGCCAGTGACGAATCACTATTATTTGCAATCGTAGAAAATCCGGAGAAGTTTGTTATTTGTAAATTTAAGATACAGCTAGATACGTTTGTTTTACAAATTTCCTAGTAGTGAAATAGAAGCATGAAGCCAGTTATTTCCAAGAGGTGATAACTTTTGAAGTATTTTGTTTGAATGAGTTCAGAGACAATAGTCTGCACGGTAGGAAAAGTGCTTTCAAAGAGGGATTCTTCGACGAATTTCCAATATCTTACGAAATACAGCTACATTCAGGAGTAGCTTTTTCACTATGAAGTATCTAAATAACATTCAGCTGTTAAGTCGCTAAAAAAATAACTGTAATAGTAAGCACATAAGCAAGATTTCCAACTATCTGGGGTATAAGATTACAGATAATATTTTTATATACAGTAAGCCAGTGAACACTGATCACAATAAATGAGTACCTGCCTTGAAAATAACTTTTCGATTAAAATGTCTTGTTAGGATGCACAACTATCCATTGAAATCTGAAGTTCAAGTCATGCTATTTACCATTGATGTGATTCTGTAAACTAAGTATACGAAAGTTAATATCTCTCAACACAAGATATATCGAAATTTAAAAATAGAAGCAGGAAATAAGAGATTTTATTGTAGTCACCATACCTCAAAAAACCGAAAGTGCTATGAGACATTCGCTGAATAGCCTGTTACTACGACCCGTCAAAGGACAGCTGACATGCGCTTCCCAAGTAAGGATCAGAGTCAGACAAGGCTGCCTACTATCCTCCTTGCTCTTTCTTCAGGTGGTTGACTAAATTATGAAGACCTCTACATCTCACGGGGCGCACGGAATAAAATGGACAGGTTGGATGCAACTAGACGATTTGGATTTCACATATGACCCAGCTCTTCCATACTATACACACAACAAATGCAGGTCAAGATAGAGAAAAGTAGCATTAGCCTCTGAATATGTAGGCCTCAACATACACAAAGAAAATAGCAAAATCCTTAGATGCAACAAGGACAAAGCTAACGTGACCACACTTAATGTAGAAGCTCTGAGAGTTGGAATCTTTCACGTACCTGGGAGGCATCATCGATGAACAAGGAGGATCTGATGCAGACCTCAAGGCAATGATTGGTAAAGCAAAAACAACACTCCCGCGCATAGAGAACATATGGAACTCAGAACAACTATCAACGGATATCGAAGTCACAATCCTCAATACGAAGGTCAAGACTGTTTCACTGTATGGAACTAAAACTTCGAGAACTACCACAACCATCATTAAAAGAGTACAAGGATTTATAAACAGTTGTCTACGTAAGATACAGAATATCCGTTGACCGGATACCAGCAGTAACACCCTGCTGTGGGAGACAACAAACTAGCTTCCGGCTGAACAGGGAATTACGAAAAGACTTTGAAGGTGAATAGGACACATTGAAAAAACCATCAAACTGCATCACGGGGGAAGCGCTTAGTTGGAATCCTGAAGGAAAACAGAAAAGAAGACGGTCAAAGAACATACTAAGTCGAAAATTGAAAGCAGATATGAAAAGGATTGCTTGGGACAGAGTTGGATGTAAAGTGCTGGTGAGCGGCCTATACCCCTGCATGAGGGGTAACAGGCACAACAAACAGACGGACGATAGTCCATCCAAACATTTTGTCAACTCTACAACGATATTCTACATGTTCTTCGACACAAATGACTTACCAAATAAGTTGTGTTAACTATAAATGATGCATAAAATACGAATCATCTGAAACACCGCTAAGAAGTTATGAAGCATCTAATCCATCTTTTAAATGTAGTTGAGTAGATGAATTGTGCATTTAGTAAAGATTTTAAGGCAATAAGGTTGTGAAACGTGGGAATTGGGAAATTTTTCTTCATCTATAAGATTTCAAAATAAATACATTCAATCAGAAATTAGCACAGTCATCATGGAGAATACTCTAACTACATTGCATAACCCTTGGTAAAATATATTATTCTGAAGATTTGTTGAAAATATTCGCATGGGAATAACAAATACATTTCGGTATAATGTAGTTACTGATAAACATATCAATAAAACAGCTGATTAGGAACAATTTTGAAACAGTAAAAGACTGGGGAAATATATAGTCACGTGATGGTACTCTTCTAGGAAAATTTCAACAAATAGTCATACAGCTTCCTTGTATTAATATTTTCTAACTCCCAACACGTCAGTGTTTTTTTATCCAAAGGCTCTGTGTATTCATGCAAATAAAGAAAAATGATACCTTTGAAGTGACTTTAGTAATAATTCGATCTAATTCTCAACTTCTAACACTTATCATGCATTAACTGTTGTACACAGTTTATCTCAATACATTACTTTGCATTTACAAAGATTGATTCGCATCTAAATCATTGTGTTAAAATGGACACAATAAATTTATTCAGTACGACACATTGCCTATCTAACAATATCTGTATTTTCAATCATAATCATTAAAACAAACAACTACTAAAGTGTTTCAATGCTGAAAAATAAGAATTATCACGTCCAACATTGTTTACATCTCTCTCTTTAGAGAAAAATGAAACAAAAAAAAACTATTAAAAAAATTGCAACAAAAATATTGAGAAAAAACAAAAAAATTTCGACTATTTTATTCACTGAAAATTATTTTGCTGACCAAGAAATTATTTATTCTCCTATTTATTCATAAAAGTAAAAAGAAAAAGTGAGGGAGAGAAACATTACATCACATCGAGATGAAAATCACTCGCTGTTTTTTTCATTTGGAAGAAAACGAAACGAGACAATGAAACTATTTCTCGAAAAAAAGAGTAATTTTAGTAATTACAGTTTGCTGAGCAAATGCAAGTAATATATTGTAATAGTGATGATAATAATAATAATAATAACAATGACGACGACAATGAAAATTACGTTTACAACCAATTCAAAGCATAGAGATATGAACTATACGAATATACATACAAAGGATGAGGGGTGATATGTCGTCTACCCCAAAAACCCTGATACAGTGATGAATATAAAACAAGAAGATTATGTGCGTTAGCGTGTTGATACACAAACACACAACAATAGAGACAACCAACAAGGAGAAGAAAACAACTAGGATAAAAGTGACCATGTTCGCCTCTTTCTGTTTTCAATGACAATTAGTCTAATGTATTGCATGTTTGTTTGCATGCTTTTAGCTTAAAGGAGACTAACAAAAAAGGAAGAACTTTTTTGGCAGAAAATGCTTGCAACGTAACACTTTATAACTGTTCAAAATGAAGATGAAATTGATGAAATATAAATTGATATACATATGCATAAATATATACGTGTGTAGATGTAATGTCGATGAGGAGATAGTATGGTAATAATAATATTATTAATAATAATAATAATAATAATAATAATAATAATAATAATAATTATTATTATTATTATTATTATTATTATTATTATTATTATTAAGGACAAGTATGCGAGGATGCATGTATGCATGAATAGAGAATTGTTTTTCATGTTTACATATTAAATAAACCCGATTGTTTTGTCTCTTTTACAATCAAATAATATTGAGTACGTGCGTTTGTACTAAATTGAAAAGTATGATGAAAATAAAGAAACTGATGAAAATAACCGTTTTAGATATGCTAACAACAATTGAGAATATTGAGGACATGAATTAAAACACAGCGACATACAAACAGTTATAGAATAAATGTATCCTGAACAAGATGTAAACGAAATTGTGTGACCAAGAAAATAAACAAGATGTCAACACATACACACACAATGAATATAAATAACAACTGTCAATGAGAAAGAAAATTATGAGCAAAAGACAACGAGCGATTAAAACAAACAAAAACAAAACTGAAAAGAACTTAAGTTGATCTTTTTAAATCAGCTGTTTGTATACCAGCTAAAATACGCTGCCATAAAGCTGGACTACACTTTTGATGACGACGAATACGTGTCAATAAGTTATTCCAATGTAAACCGCAATCAATAGCGGGCATACTTAAGTGAACATTATACGCTTTTAAAATTAAATCAACGAATTCATCCCACTCAGCTTGACTTTGTCCAATATACTGAAGTCTTTGATCAATATATTTTTGAAATCTAGGAAATAAGGTATAATGATAAGTTTTAACAGACAATGAATAAATAAATATTAATATAAGCAGAAACCTAAAAGTATTTGCGACAGTAAGTATTTTTAGAGCATTTTTCCATTCATTTAGTGTATGAACGCTGGATGAGAGAATATAATTTTTCCTGGATGATATCATTTCAAGCTTTGACTTTATTTGTTTTTCTTATCCGGCATTTCAAGATGCACCACAGTCAGAGAAGGCATATATAGACAGCCTTAGATGATTGAAATGAACTCACTGGAAAAAAGACGCCCTTAGGTACAGCACTCACCCTCTAAATGAACAGAGAAATGCTCGAAAAATGCTTCAGATTACACTTTTATTGAGCACTGAAGGAAGGATGGTTATCCTCACAAACAAAAATGAATTTAAGATTCAGCGAACAATTTAACAAAAACGATCAAAAATACGATAAAACACCGTTTGATAAACTTATTATTGTCTGTTTACAAAGGTTTTTCTTTAATGGGCTTAATAAGTTGTTGAGCGATACGGGCACACACAACTATAAAATATTAGATTATGGATTCAAACCTACTGTGCACTTGATTCAACAACAAAAAAAGATTGGTATTATCATGATGTTTAGCATATCACATATTACGGTTCATTAGTGAGTTGTAGTTCATAGAAATAAATAGTTAACATTCGATTTTAAAATGGGTTAATTGATATCCATACATTAGATCGTGTCATCTGTTTCTTTGATGTATATGTGATATGACGAATGTGGTAGTAAATAGGTTCTAAACAAACTTGAAAAAAGAAAATGCAACAATTGTAAAGCTTATTTGTAAAGTCCCATTAATTGACATAAAAACTGGAGCTCGTGGCAAGAAATCTATTTTAAACAAATTTGTGAAGATAACTTAAACTATTAATAAAAAAATTATATATGTAAAATTCTCAGCCATTAAACTTTAAATAAGTCCAATGTTTTGCTCAGTAATTTGGTTTCAGGTTTTTCATGAAAAGATAACTACCTTGAACTATCTCATATACCTTTTGGTATTAAACACATGCCTTCTCATTGAGATTATTATTCTGTAAGCTAGAACAAAACGATAAGTCGTCTTTGAGCAGTATAGTGCTTCTCCTGCTCTGAATGTGCTGCTTCATAATAACATACTTAATATACTAATTTTCTTTCACCTTTAAATACGTTTTCCACTAGAAAAGTACGCTTTAATTGTTTTAACGATTTCTGTTATTGAGTTTTAAACCCTGATCACAAGGTTGACAGGTACATGTGAGATATACCATACAAAATGCATACTGTTTCAAAATGGTCGCATATTTTAACAGTACATTACAGTTCGCCTCTTTTAAATAAATATAAGTTTGGCATACTAATTTCAGTGACTTATATATATATATATATATATATATATATATATATATAATTGCTTTCCCAATAACAAAACAGAAAGCAGATGATCATATAAAAAAACAAGTCAATATGGTAACAGTCAGTTTACAAATTTCAGGTTATGAAAAAATGAGGAAAGTATCTACATACCACATATTCTTATGAATAAATAAAACGAAGGTATCGTTTCAAAGCAACCTTAAGTAATTGAGCGTTTTTAAAACGTATTACTTAAGCGACAAGAGTCAAAGAAAAGATTTGTGACTACAGACAAGGAACTGATTACACATGGAAAAGTTAGACAAGAATTGACTAAAAAAATTGAAAAAGATAATCCACACACACGTATGTGATGCTCAATTTATTTTTATTACTAGAAATGCAATCAATTTAGTAAAGGAACGGAGTTATGATTGCAAAATCTAAGTCTACCATCAAGATACATTCAAGTAAAATAACCTAGAAATATTACTAAACCAGTCAATCATGATCAGCGTACAGCCTAGAGAGAACGTGATCAAGGGGCTACAGTAGTCATACCACATTAGCACGACATAATAAAATGGCAAAGGAGTCAAAATGATTGCAGTAGCGATGATAATGAGTAAGACTACTTATTTTCAATATGATTCGGACAGACAGAATGAAAAAGAATACATGAAAGCTGCTAAAGTATGCCTATACAAATCAAAACATTGAGCTAAAACAATATATAATGATCTGGATGTAAACAGGGTATAGCCTGGCACAAATATATACACATATACCTTCCAACAACAACATTTCATATAAGGATAAAAACGGGACTCAATGAAAAGAACAATAACACAATCAAGTATGACTAACGAAAGGTAAAACATAAATGACATCAAAGAATAAATGTTATGGTGAACTACCGCATACTTAAGATTTAGAAGATAATATAAAAAACATGATAAATGATCTCTATATTATTGTTATCTCTCTTTCAAATATAAATGATCCATCTGTAAATTCCCATTCATCAATGACTGTATTTTTATGAAAAGCAATACACAACACGTACAACCCTTTACTGTTCTACATAACTTAAATCAACAGTCGTTAGTAGGTTTATAGATTGACAAAAATCTATTGATACAATCATTTTTAGCCTACTTTTAACTAATTCAAACCAATATCAATAAGGCAATTAGTAAGAATGGACTTATCATTTCTTACCTAACTTCACTTTTAGATTTCAAATTCATTCAGATGATATGGAATTTATTAACAACTCACCTTAATCACGCTTAATAATATTTCACAATTACAATACAGTATAATTCACGTTTTAAATTTGATTTTAAAAATGGCTCTATTGAGTATGATAATTAGATTTACATCAAAAGTTTAGTATGTGAACAAGGTAATTCGAAAAAACATTGAAGAAACCACAAAAAAAGTTTTTTGATTTTTCAACAGATTCCGGCATAAAACATGTATAATATAAACAATTACCACTTAATTTCTTATTTCCTACGAAAAGATGATACCTTAGAAACTAAGTAAAACTACTTTTTTTTCTTTCTCGTAAAAAACTTTACTTAACAATCGATCATGGGTATCAGTGACTTATCAGTTGAAAAGTTTTATATAAAACAACACAGTGTAAAACTATTTATCACATACTGATTAATATATATATATATATATATATATATATATATATATATAAATCTGACATTACTGTTTCTTTTTCTCTTTCCAAATTTATTTTACTAGATTGTGCTCCTTGTATAAAATCTTCAAACCCATATTTTACCGATTACTGCTCATACTTTTACTACATCTACCACTATGGGATTCGAATCAACAATCGTATGTCTGTGCTAATGTGGTATGGCAACTTGAACTGATGTACGTACGTACAAAGTTTTACGTTGTCGCTGAATGACATTACTTTGTTCTCACATAACCCGATAACACTAGACAGTATTGAAGGGTTTATTATTAAACGATAATAGCTGAAAACTGAGTGTTTTAACCACTATGTCAATAATCTAAACTAAATCAACAAATTAAAAACAAAGGATTAAAAATATCCCGGTTTTTATTTTTAATCAGAGTAGACAATAATTATTCTACTTAGAATGATTTGATATGTTGATAGAATTTTAGTCAATACTTTACTAACGGACAATTTTACAATCCGATCTCATGTATATCATGAATGACGCTAATTCTAAAGATAAACAGTATAGATAACATACACTCATTATTCAGTTGAACTTAAATAGAAAAATGAATATTGAGGAATAATCTTGTCTACCCTGAGACGCAGTAATAATAATATATACACTGGTCATTCATTAGTAATTGTTTTCTTTGAATAAAGAATATTCTGTCTTAAAAAACAACAACTTACAATGTGTGTGTATGATTAATCAAATTCTCTATCACATCTCTACCGCTAAATTCAAGTGGTTTTTGTTTTATTGATTCATCTGTTGTGGTGTAACTGTTATGGTGCATTCCTAGTGTTCCTGTTGTTGTAGTTGTCATCACTGAATTTAGATACATATCGTTTTGATGATGTGTAAGAGGACTAGGTGTTACTGTGTGGGGTGGAGGAACAGGAACAGGAAGAATATAGGACAGTGGGTTCATTGGCCATAGATTTGTCTGCTGATTGTAAAAAGGTAATTGATTTAAAGCAACATTTAAATTATTCGGTTTATTGTTTGGAAGAATGTAAGGACTAGCATTTATATTTGGCTCATAATTTAAATTCATTTGTTTAAATCGATAAAGATTTTCATGCAATTGTTTAGAAGATAAATTCTGTCGTAGTATAGGATAACTGACAGGTCGAACAGACGGATGTGACCAAGATGGATTATTCGGTGGAAGTATTGACGGTGGTATGAAAGAATGGTAATTAAACGTGGAGTTTATGTTATTAGGATCGGAATGAGGAAAAGGTAAAGAAATCAGTGGATGAACAACATCATATAGGTCATAGGGATTGGAATTGGTTGGCCAATTAGATGCGGGAGTTACAGAGGCAATTGAAGTCGTCCATGGCTGATTAGGTGTATGAGATTGATTGAGAAAATTTTGAGATATATTTGAACAAAAGTTTACATTTTTATCATTGTTATCAGAAATTACTGCATTTGGTGAGGAAACATCAATGTAAGGTTGTTGCATATGGGCTAAGCCACCCCTGCCATTATTAACGCTGCAAGCTGGTGTATGTGTTTTTGCATATTTTTCAAAATAGTCAATAACTTTCGAAGTGATTTGTTCCATTAACAAAGGACAATTGACACATTGTAAAACTAAATCACAATATTCATTCACAGCCAACAGACCTAAACTACTAGCAACCTGTAAATGGATCAATAAAACAAAAAGAGAAAAATATGATTTCAAATAAGTTACTTTTTATTTAAAGATCAATGAGATTAGATTTAACTCGATTTTCAGGTTCACTGCTCTAAATAAGCTTATTTTTAAAATATAGAAAAAATATTGTTATTAAATTCCAACAGTTTTTCTTGAATTATAAGTGAATTAACTAATTCGCCAGGTACTTGGTTAAGAATCCCACGTTGAGTGTGAGGAGTAATGATAAACCAAAGTAGCTTGTACAGGGTTCGAACCAGGGGCTAAGGAGCTAAAATTCGGATGTCTTAACCCACTAAGCGGTTGCTCCACCAACAATAACTTGAATACATAATAAATAGCTTGCTTTTAAAACATTCCCTTTTGCTACTTAATGACTTTTATCGTTCAACCAAGTTACAGTGTTGTGCTTATTGTAGAGAGCTATTACAATTAAAAATAATAACAATACAATTCACAACCATCTCTGTTTGAAGTAAAAGTACAAAATGGTAGAAAGCTGATTTACAAGTAGTTAGTTGCTCAATGTCAGATTAGCGTATAAAACATGTAAAATTATGAAATAATTCAGTTGACAAACAAAATCGCTTAAATTAATTCTGTTAATTTAGTGTTTAATATATTTAACTGGAATTAAACAGTCACCAACCATAAACAAAAATTCATCACAGTAAATACAAAGAATAAAATACATTTGACTAAGAAAATCACTTTATATAGTACAATAAATACTGAGAAATTCTCAATTTGTGCTTCCAGGTTTTCAATGGTGGTTTAACTTCAATTGACGCATGATCTAAACTATTAAAATTACTATAATATCCACAAAAACCCCTTCTGTTATTAATTTAAAATTTATTATACAACGACGTTTCATCTTCATTTTCAATTCCATTACTATTATCATCATCAAAATGATATGGAATATATGTCAAAGAATAATATTTTTTCTCGACAACATTGACTAAGTACTAATCATTTTTACTCTTATAATCGATACAAATGTTGGATAAGATAAAATACAACATTTCTATCAAGCATTCCAAACTCCGGAATAATTTACCACAATCTGTCCGTGAAATAAAATCAATCCCATCCTTTGTTCGTTCTATTGATGATTACTTCTCCTCTGAAAATACTTTAAATGTAAGTATATCCCATTTCACAAGTGAGATTATAGGAACTTTAAATGTTTAAACGTTTTTATTACTGAATCCACTAAGTGAACCTTCGTACCTGCTGATACTTTACACTAACACCGTTTCTGGTAACCTTAACTAATTTGAATAATATCTAACACGAATAATATATTATAAAATAATCTGGCACATATATTATAGTAGACTTGACTGACCTATCGTAGAAATTATTGCTTTCTCTGTTCCTTGCCCCCTGTTTCTGTTTTATTTTCTCTAGCTGTAGATGATTACAATCAATTTGTGATGGCACACGAAATCATCTGAAATCCACCGTTCATACATCAATAAGATGTCTAATTAAAAATAATTAAAACTTCCCGGCTGAAACCTTTGACTGCTGTAATTTATTTTATTTATTTATTTATTTCAACATATAAACATTGGTATAAAAAGGCACAAAACAGATAAGCGCCACATAAATCATTTGATGTGTGCGTGGGCTGGGATACTGCCCGGGTTCCCAAACCAAAGGTGGTTTTCTTAGGAAGTCACTCGCAGAGCCTGTATGTCTGATCCACAAGGCCATGGAGCAACGCTAGGAGATGCAGTCCTATATTAGCCGGTAACGAACAATAGGTTCATACGCCATTTGTTTCCTTACGACCCTGGAGCCCATGCACATCAGTGGCTTTGGAACCAGGGTTTCACAACTCCCCCAGATGGACCCTGCATGTCCATCAACCCGGTGAAAGCGCCGGACATTCGCTGCTCGTCCTCTCAACTTCGTAAGCAACACCGGTGCCACAAGAAGGCAGTGAGTAGGACTTCCCTGTCAGAGGCTATATACGCGTGGACATGTGGGAGCTGACTCTCCCCACTCTCGGCGATACCAGGGCACTTGGGGGTAATTGTTGTAATATATGTGAAAACTGTACTATCCAAACAATTTTTTGGACCAGAAAACTTTAAACAATATAATATCACATATCTGTCCTCTATCTTCAATACTACTACATATACCTAGCTAATCATGCCTGTAAACTGGCATGAATTCCGTAATTATTAATTTCAGAATGTATTATTATTATATTATCAGATTGATAAATTTCATTACAATTTAGGTTGCACGTTCAATCAAATAACAAACAATGAAATTATCCCAAAATTAATCTAGTGTCTCCATTTGATAATAATTAAGCATTGTTATAAATAAGTTATTTATATCACGCATATGCAAAAGATCCTATAGCTAACAAATATAATTACTCAGTTACATGCAATATGTGTATATTGGTATGACGGATTAAGAATCAGAAAGAAAAACATACGTCTAAGGTCCACAGTATATGTGCACTACACGATTTTGAATTGGCATTAGTAGTAGTGGTAGTAGTAGTAGAAGAAGTAGTAGTAGCATTGATCAAATTAAAATCTGAGATAACATTAGCTGAGGATATTCTGACTTGATTCGATGCTCTACAAGATGATGATACACCAGGCATAAGAAACATTGATGATGAATTCTCAGATGGTAAACAACTATTTTGATCATTTGTTGTTATGGTATTTCGTGTGCTAGTTGAAAGCATACAATTACTATTAGTATCAGTTTGTATGAGATGCCTACGTTGTGAATGATTTGTTGAATTTCCACGATGGCTTTGTTGCATATGATAATGATGATGCTTTCCTCGCATACTTCTTGATGGCATTGAAACAGCAATAGGATTTTGACGAGTAAAATTTGTATTCACATTAGACTATAAGGTAGATAACAGAAGAAATATACTGAAATAAGAACTCTATAGAATTATTAATCATTTCAATTTATTAAAAACAGTCCATCAAGATAGAAGACAATAAACTAGTTTTTTTAAATTCAAATAAGGCCCTATAAATAAAACGCAAAAGTACGGGAAGGTTTGATAAACATTGGAGGTTCTATAATAGTCCTTGGTTGATTGCCAACCAGTTCCTAATTAAGTTGAGTTTTGTGAATTCCACTAGTTAAGATCCCAAAGGTATTCAGTAAGTAAACGTTGATAAAATCCGCATATAGATAGTCCGTCTGTAAACTTTTTTTTGAAAAAATCATTGTTACTAAAATTCTTGAAAGTACTCTCCTAATGAGTGTTTCAGTTAGAAAAGAAGTATTAACATTTAGTCATGACTGATTAGTAGGGTGGGATCAATTTAATTTATATTGTTCAGTAGTTGTAGGCAATTAGTAGGAAACGCCTTGCAGCCAGTCATTCGGGATTTGAATCTGTATCAATCATCCAAATTTACAATCTGCGACATTACAACTGAATTATTTGTGTCTCAACTGACCACCACGTTTTGCAAGAGTAAGACGTTTACAATTGAATAATCACTAAGTAATGTAGCAGCCAATATCACTAAGTCCCGACCAGATTCTCTGAACCAAGCTACAATGTATAAGTAAATATCTAACGAATAAGATTGTATTATAGAATCAGATAATCGAAAATGTCAGCACTAAGAGTAAAAAAGTGGAAAACCCAAAACAAAAAAGAAAAGAAACATACTTGGCTAGCTGATATCTTTTTAATAGCACATTTTGCACAGAAAAATGCTCGAATCAAATAAGCTTGTGCTTTCAACTTTAAAGATTGTAATTCACTGACTGTTGATTTCGCTGTATTACTCGACAATTTCTCTTTATTATTATTGTTACTATTCAATGACAAGTCACCAGAGGAGTTGCTATTGTTAGAATATGGATTGTTTTCATCGCCTAATCCATCTGCTACAGATTCAGCTAATCGACAAGAATCGCCTTCAGAGATAATGGATCCTTGATCAGACATAGATGGATGTACAACAACAGAACTAGAAGCAGTATTTGATGTTGTCAACTGACGAGTTGATGTTAATGCAGATGATATAACTGACGATAATGAATTGACTGAAATAACTGTACTATCAGGTAGTGTATTCAAATTAACATTATTGACATAATTGTTATTAGTACTGTGTATGTTATTAATAGTGTTTATAGATGCTAATGACGTAACCGGTTCGACGGTTTGATGTTGTTGTTGCTGCACTTGTGACTGAGGTTGAGTACCAAGTACGTTACAAACCATGGACTGATGAACAGTTGGTGCAGTCATTGCAGGATTAAAACCGTACAACGATGGTTCCATTACTTGATCCGTTGAATAAGCTTGATATGAATTACAGGTTAAAAGTTATTTTTTCAAAAAGTGGTGAACATATTGGTTTTAATATGCAGAAACAACAACGTTAAATTGAAGAATTGTAATATTTAGAGTTTTTGAGAAATGTATGGGTAACTGACTTTATCTAATTATGATTGACTTCCTACAATATTAGTGTCATTTTTTCTCAAACGTGATATCTATTTTGTCTGACTTTTAAGCAAATGAATTGATGCTATGACTTATTTTGTTTAAACCTGGTAACAGTTAATCTAACAGCTCCGTTTTTTTACTGTGTTACACTAACGATTAATAAATTGCACAAAATCATCCATTCCCAACCACTAATCAGGAAACAAAGAGATTTGTCTAAATATCTTGTATTAAACTCGTGTTACTGAAACTGAAAAACACATAATTCTATTTTTCAAAGTTGAAATCATGAGTCAGTTGAAGCTAGACCACCATGGAAAACCTGGAAGCACTGGACGGCCGTTTCGTCCTATTATGGGACTCCTCAGCAGTGCGCATTCACGATCCCACACTAGCGAGATTCGAACCCAGGACCTACCAGTCTCGAGCCGGCATCCAACGGTGTTAATGTCTAACTTCAACCGATCCATGAGTTATGAGCGACCATCCATCAATTGTCTATCGGTTTACGTCTTATATATATATATATATATATATATATATATATATATATATATATATATATATATATATATATATATATATATATACTTTTACCGATATGCAGTACACAAATAATGTAGTTCTAAGCTAAGATGACTCTGAAGAAAGCAAATGGTTTTGCATATGAGTGAACAGTGGATATGAAAGATCAATGTCACATCCATCAAATGCAAAATAACGGTTCACAATTAGTCAGCTTTACTGCTTACTTGTTTAGAAAATAAAATAAAAAACGACTGATTATACTGAAAACTACGGTTATGATAAGCGTCTAATCAGAAAAGGTCAGCTGATTGGTCGAAAACTACTTCAAAAATATACTTAAAAATTCATTACGTTTGTACGATATTCCATAAGCTGTCTTATAATACAGCTTTACAAGTTGAAATCGTCAAATAATTCAGTGGCAATAAAGCACTATTAGACAGCTATTATGATTTCATTGGATCGTATTATTATTATTACCATTATTGTCAGTTTAATTAAAACGAATATACATTACTTACGCAGAACGTTAGTTCCAAAAGTTGGAGACAGTGAAGTGGATGGATTTATATGATGTGGAATAGTGACAAATGGACCACTTGGAATCATATTTATTGACTGAGATGATGATGGAGTTGGAAGAGGAGTATTTGGAATGAACTGTGGATGTAAAAGATAATTACTAGGCGATTGCACAGGTCCCACTGGAGGTAAAGATGACATTCCGAATGAGTAAGGTACATTAGACTGTGAAATAATTACACATAAAAATGCAAAATTATTCATAAACTGGTAATAAGAATAGCTTTTTAAACATGAACATGATAAGGTGAACCAACCACTGGAATAGTCACCTAATGTAGTGCCGATTTCAATGATTATGCTGAATAAAGTCCACCAAGAAGTTTTTAGACCGATTTATACGTGAAATTGTTAAAAGTAATAATAAATGAATAAATAGTAATATTCTGGATGACGAGTTTTTTTTTTAATTTCGACTAAACGTGTGAATAAACACACACGGATAGTAACGAATTCCTATTTTGCATGTTAGGTATTCATAGCTGAATGTTATAATTATATCTACTTGTAGATAATCACCAGACCAACGTATGGAAACTAGAGTTACCAAATGCTTAACTTAAAATGAGAACAAAAAGTCTTGAGAGACACGACACCATAACGAATAATATAACACCAAAAAAAATGGATAACAGGCAAGAAAATCATAATAATCAACTAAAATTAATATGCGAAAAGATTAATTTAAGCCTTAACAAAGGTTGATCGCTCTTCAGTCCATTCGTTTATGAGATAACGGGCTAAGTAGAAGATAGGGTAATCCACAGGAAACATTATTACCGCATAACACACTCGGTAAATAGAAGCTCAAATGTATACTTCATCAAAAGCTGCTCCCTCCGATCCATCAACTATGGATTAACTGCGCTATACAACAATCGTTGAATATGATATTAACAATTTCTGGTTCAATTTTCACCGTACGGGATAAAAAGGAAGCATCTATAAAACATAGTAATCTAACTTTTTCCATAAACTAAACAAAAACATTTTCTAATTAATAACGAAAGCTTCTTACTTGAATCGGTGACATTATATGTTGAGATTGTGGCAAATAATACGGTAAATGATGAGGAGGAGGTGGTGGATGAGCTGACTGTTGTTGTCGTTGTGTTGGTGGCGTTGTAGATTGTAATTGTGGTCTATTGTTATTCAATAAATTATTATTATTTGTCTGTTGTTGCGATAATGACTGAGGTGTTTGTAAACTGAGCATATTCATATAATAGGGTAATGATGTGTATTGGTGTTGTTGTTGACCAAGTGAAAAACCACTATAATTAAAATTCACAGGGGACAGCATGGAGGCACCATACATCAATTGATTTGGTTGTTCTTGATGCTGATGATGCGGTTGTTGATCACCTCGCACTAATGGTGGTGGCAATAAATTAACCGACTGATAATAATACCAAGCGTTAATTAAATCATTACTGGTTAAATTTATACTATTGATGGGATTATTATTGTTACTTTTATTATCACTGGTTGCATGGTTCGAATCTGAAACTAGTGACATTTCTGTAATAGAATGATTACTATTATTAGTAGTAGTAGTGATAGTGGTATTGATAGTAGCATTATTACCAATATCACAATTATTATTAGTGACACTGCTGTTACTATTAATATCGTTATTAGTCAATTCCTGAACTGAATTCGTTAAATTAGGATAAACATGAATATTTGAGTCAGATAAAATTGTATTCATAGTATTATTTTTATTAAACGTGGATAAATTCTCGTTATCATTTCGAATTTTTAATGATGATTGATTGGAATTATTAAAAGATTCCAATGAATTCAGCGCTTGTTCAAATTCCTTATTGGTTGAATGATATAAAGTATACCAACTTCTTGCTATAAAAAAATATATCTCCGGTAAAATATCATGTGACGATTGATAAGCGCTACGTTCAACGCATAATAAACCACGTTCTAAAGTATGACCTGAATGTTCACCGCATTGTTCTAATGCTCTGTATAATTCTTGTGGTTTTAAAGCTGTACATAATGATAAACTAGCAAGACATAATTCTGCAGCAACATCGACAAGCTATGCAAGACAATTAAAAAAAACAAATCAATTTAAAACATACTAAGATATATAAATTAAGTTTAGAAAACAAAAATTAGTTCATCGTTAAACAAGGTAGAATGTAAAGTGCTGGTGGTGGTTGAAGGAAACCCTGGACATAACTTTTGATCTATTTGACACTTGTCAGCAAGGTGTACCTGTAATCTTGAAGGAAATGGTGTTCGCCCGAGGATTCGATTTTGTATCATGCAGCTGAAAAGTTAGAGATGTTACTAATGAGCTATCCGGGTCGCGACCAATCTCTTATAGAAATGAAATGTATTTACAATAAGATAATCACTGAGTAGTGACTACTCTCATGTATGTCAAGTCGCTTTTAGAGTTCGAATTCTATCGACCAAGTTGCACTGTGACTACTAGTCTAAGTGACTCGATATTGTGTGTTATCTGAATTTCTTCGAGTACGACTGTCTGTCATGAACATGATTGTCCTGTCATTATTTGAATATTTATTTGGATTGTTCTTCTCATCAAGCTGATTCTCGTACGTAAATTTATTTATATGTTTTTGATAAATTAGATCACTTTTGATGTGTTTACTGATTGACCTAAGTTTCCAGATTTGAAGATTTTCTAGTCTTCTTTGTATTTCCTCTTTCCGAAATCTAAACAACTCTTCAGACAAATTTATGCCTACAACTGTTCATGTGAATTGATATAAGCGAAGATACACCATAGCGCTTGACAGCTAATTGGCGTTTATGCAAACGAAGATTGGGAGGACGACCGCTTTGTTTGACGTAGTGTTTATTGCAATTGAATCAGTTTATTTTGTGTACTGTTTAGCTTTTCTTCTCATATCATCTCGTCTTTTGGTTTGCATAAGATTGATTGACGTCCCCATTATTTTGGATGACACGATCTACTGTTATTACACAATTGTCAGGACTGAAACAGATGAAGCAAAGTTCTTAACCAACAATGATAAAACAGTTGAAGAATGAGTGAGTTTTAACCACTAAGCCAACACACTACTTATTGAGACGGCTTGCGGGAACTACGACGGAGCCTCCAGAGGCCCTAGAGAAGCCGAAGAGTTTCATCCAATCAGAACGCAATGGAGCTTCCTAGAATATCAATATGGCATACTACTATTGGTCAGTAGCATAACGTGCCTCTTTGAGGATTCGTTGAATAATAATGTTGATTTAACAAACGCTAATGCTTACAAATACCCATGATTTTCTGTACATTTTGATTCTTGCCCAACAAGCACTTTCTCCATTCTTCCTTCTATCTTCTCATTTGCGACGCGGGGGGGGGTTCTAGCGTTCGAGAACTCAAATTGAACGCAGTCAGTCACAACGTAGAACTTAGTACGTACGTACATCAGTTCGAGTTGCCATACCACATGAGCACAGAAATGCAGTTGTCGATTCAAATTCCATAGTGGTAGAAGTAGTAAGAGTATAAGCAGTAGACAAGTTGTACGCAGTATATTAAAAATCTAAGCTCTAGATATAACACTACTATAGATAACAACTGACTGTTTTTCTCAAACATGATCTGTGCGCTTATAATTATAAATGCTAACGTTAGACTTGATAGCTCCAAATAAATTGAGTATTGGGTAAAAAGTGATATATATATATATATATTCTATCCCGATGAGCAGAAAAATGGTATTTCTGGTGTTTCGTGACTTAATGTAAACCACTTTCGAAGAAGTGGTGAAACGTCAGAAATACAATTTTTCTACTAATTGGGATATAACAAAAAGTATTTATTATAATCTGTGCCTTTTTAACAGCAATGATCAAGTAGTAAAAAAAGGCCGAAAATAAACGTAAAAATTATAAAACCAAAATTTTCTGAAAAAAAGACCTTTTACAATCTGCAAATCACTATTTATTTGAATAAAACAATGAACTTCATCAGAAAAAAATCGAGAAATAATCCATGTTTCTTACAGAACGATTGTTTGCTCTTGATAATTGAAATGCGATAGCGGTTAATTCTGCTGCTGTAAGATGTTGTTGCCAAGAATGATATAAAATACAAGCAGCCGGTATACCGATTTCAAATACTTGTTGACTTATCCATCCACCGTTTCTTGAGAACGTGCGATTTTGCCAAGAAGGCAAAAGACGATTGAATAGTCCTAAGCCATAAAGTCCTAACTAAAATAATAAAATAATAATTTCTTTTTAGGAAAGTGCTGCCAAAAATGAAAAACAACAAATGTATAAAGTTTCTTAGTAAAGATGTGTAATTTCCAGCTAATAACTATTTGGACTTAATAGTCTAAGTAGTCGGATACGTATATTGGAGTTCGAGTTGTACTGTGAACATCAACACAGAAATCCAGATACATACAGTTTATGATGAAAACTTACCTCTGAATTATAAACTCTGTCTTAGAGCAAGTGAATTTTACACTGGAAAAAACAAGGCATAATCTCTCTATAAAAGAGAACGAATAGAATTTCTTTTTAAAGATAGGCATACTTGAGCATACATTACAATAAATTTATTGAAAACTGAGAAGTTAATTATAAACTTTCACATTCTCCAGAGTAAACTTGTCAAGATGGGCACTCACAACAAAAAGTTACAACTTTTGACTGAAAAAATATGAACATTCCTATTGCATATTACTATATAGACTGTTCGCCAAGTTTTATGTACTCGGCTTCGAGAGGCTAGTAATACTGTGATGTGGGTTACTTATATCCACCTAAGTAGTATATGGTGATGGTCAGACATAGAATATTTTTTGGCAGAAGATGGATAAGGAAAGAACAGAAACGAAGCACAATCGGTATGAAAATGCATGAACAATGAAGTCAGAGATAGACTGATATTTGCAGAAGGAACAGTCAAGATTGAGAAAATTGATTGTTATTTTGTAAATTGACTGTTAACTGTAAGGTCATCAGATTTTAGTGGGACAGTCTGTAATTTGTGCTCAAATACATTCGACTGTCCCTAATCGTGTACTGCTCACTACAATACCTTACAAAACCGAAGTAAGTGGACTAGGATTCAAACATACAACTTACTTATTGAAAGTCGAGTGTTCTAATCATTCAGTGATAACCTCTTAACACTGTAACATATATTTCTTAACATGATAAATGTATATTTGATATTTATCAGTGATCTCCAAGTTATTTAGAAACAAGTTACTATCTTTAGTAGTTCAAGCAAATTAGTTAACAAATAATGAGACAAGTTTAGTTACATAACACTAAAATAAACTAACTTGAAACGATATTAATTGGAGATTACGATGAACAGTATCATTTGCTTCAGTTTCAGCTACAAACATAGATCCACTGGTACTTGGACCACCAGCACATTCACGAATTGTTTCAGCTAATTGAAATGCATGAAAAGCCATAGAATCGGATAAAGGTTGTGGTGGTGGACGTTTAAGATGTGAATGCCAACCTATGCGTAAACGATATGGACCTGCTGCAGTAGATAAATTTCTAATAGGAAGAGAAGACATTGAAATTTTTGATGTAGTGTAATTAAATTTTGAATCATTCCTAGATTCACAATTAGATCCTGAACGGATATAAGTATCGTTTGGCTAAAATGACACAAAGAGAAAAATACCATTACCATCTAAATAAGAAACGGAGTCTAAATAAATTCAATTTCATTTAACGATTAAGATAGTCTTGAGCTAAAACAATTTTTCAGTTGTTTAAACATATGTCTACATCGTACTATTATTTATCTTTGTATTTTGGAAATTGCGCCAAGTTAAATATAAAATCGGGATAAAAAGATTGTTGATGGTTATTGATGATATTCATGATCCTAAATACGCTAAGCTGACGACAATTAATTAGAACATGAAACCTGGCTTTAAGATTTCTTGCCAACTGCCTCCAAGCAGTTAACAATTTTCTAAAAACAACGGTGTATACAATGTCAAAGCATATAGACAAAATCCATAGAAATTGATCAGCATTAAGAATTAGACATCAACAACCAAGAACAAACTTGTTAAAACAGCCTGTATAAACTACCAAGTTTACAAGCAAAAGTAAATGTAGCCCAGTTCGAACCTGTTAACCAAAAATGCCAATAACCGATTAGTTAAATCATTTGTTTACAGCATGCTTACTTGTATGTTTCACCTAAACAAACATAACTATTAAACAAATTCAGAGTTAACCGATAACAATTATCAAATAAGAAAAAGAGAATTCAGCGAAGAAAATTTTCTTTTCGACGAAATCATTTACTTAAGCTGTACATTCGTATATATAGTTATTTGTTGTAGCATACTGTAGCATACTTTCATAAACAGTTGTTTATGAATATGGAATTCAAGGGAGACACGGCTGCTGAAATCCTGAATAAACGGATTTCAAAAACGTTGAATAAAACTTTCTACACAGCCAAGCTCCGAATCGTTTTCTCTAGCCGGCCTACCATTCGGGGGTGTGTTAAGGATAAGCTTTCGCTTTGGGCCACATCGATGTGTATTTATAAATTTACTTGCTCATGTGGAGCACGTTATATAGGCCGCACAAAGCGATCGCTTTCCAAACGTATCTCTGAACACTATCCAGCTTGGCTCCTAAAAGGGGAATGTAAGAAGATAACCAGTTCGATACAAGAGCACTTGATCAATTGCGGACACATTGCTCCAAAAGAGACGTCTTTTAAAATAATCTATAGAGTTAAAGGAACCGGATCAAAGGGAGGTCGAATCAATATTTTATGCACTGCTGAGGCATTGGCAATCCATGAATTGAAGCCTGAACTTTGCGTGCAGAAACGATTTGTCCAACCACTTACCCTTCCTTGTCCCTAATTCCCTCATTGGGTACGTTTTTTGGTTTTTTGTACTTTTATCTGATTATTATCGGTTTTTTTTTGTTTTTTTTGTTTTTGTTTTTTTTTTGTTTTTTAAATTACTACTTTACATTTAATCTCTAATCAGTTATTATTATTATTACTTTATACAAGTTTTCTTGATTATTACTCAGATTATTATTATTATTATGACCTTTGTGTTTGTCGCTCTTCTTCATATCTGTTAATTGAACTATTATCTGACCCATAAATTATTTTCTCCCTTACCCCTTGATTAGTACGTCACCTCATTTGTTATTTATTGTCGAATCAATTTTGTAATGCAATCTTTTTTAGCCTCCTATAGACATATATTTTCCATATTACTATATATACGAATGTACAGCTTAAGGAAATGATTTCGTCGAAAAGAAAATTTTCTTCGCTGAATTCTCTTTTTCTTATTCAATGACATTATGAGTTATTTTAATTATCAAATAATAATACAAGAAATAAAATCTACAAATTATAGAACATACCACAGACTGAACGAAATTTGTCCGGAAACTATTATTATTAGTATCATTATTATTTTCATTACTAACTCCCATACTATTAGCAACAGATTGTTTTGTGACCATCTCAGTAGGAATACATTCATTGTCATCATCATCCTCATCGTCATCACCATCATCAACTTCATCATCAGAGAATGAAGAGAAAGATGATTGTATGACATTGTCATCTACTGTGGGAAATTGTCTAACGTTATCACCATGTTGAATATAATCTTTACTTTCATTTGAAACATTAGTTCCGTTTAAAGGAGTTCCATTGTTATTATTATTATTATTATTATTATTATTATCATTATTATTGTTGATTATCGCTGGATCCAATAGAGTCGAAGACAATTGTTTATAACGTTCAGCAATCACTCCACAACCGCCACCACCATCACTACTTTCTGTTGTTTGAGCTTCAGATGACTTAGCACCAATCAGTATCAAACGACGCGTGACAGCAGGTGAATTATCACTGCTAGTTGTTTCCGGTGCACTAGTAGTAGTATCAATTGTATTCAAATGACGCGATATTTTTCTACGAACATCATACAGAGTAGTACAATGTAAATTATCCAGCTGATTGTTGATCAAAAACAAAAAAAAGTAGAAAGTCAAAAATACAATTGTCAGTGATTATGATTTGATATGTTGAGTATAACAAGAAACAAACCTGATGAAAAAACAATAACAAAAAAAATTTTCTATCACGTTAGCTTTGTAGAATGACAGTTTTCTACATACAATGTATTTTACATAATCTGTTCGATGAATATTCAAACTAAGCTACTGAAAATTAGCAACGATCATTTCCTGTCTTTATGAAAACACACAACGCGTATAGTGTTTAGTGACTCTCGATTCTTAAACCACTGTTCAAATGGGAAAATCATCTGTGAATACACTATTCTTGGTAAAATGCATAAGAGTTATAGAAATTATCCTTACATGAACATTTAGCCTCTTGTAATTTCATTTTGTTCCCAAAATCCAACATAAGTGTATGATGACAGAATTGGAACGATTAGAAACAATTCAGTATTAAATTTAATTAAACACAAAATGTACAATTTGTGGCCTATTACACGAGTTTACTGTTGAAAATGCAAAATCTATTATTCAATCATCACATGCTTTTAACAAACAATCAACCAACTATTTGTTCTAAATTATCCAATATACTTGAAATCGATAGGAGAGAAAAATGGTCATGAATAATTGTCATTCATTTTACTGAAAATTTGTAGTAACACATAAAACAGGCCACGCCTATATATATATATATATATATATATATATATATATATATATATATATATATTAGGGGTTGAGTTTAGAACATACATACAGAAAACAAAGTATTAAAAGAAGAAAACAAGAATTAATTCAGTGATCTTCAAAGATGTCACACTGATATAACAATTTTTACTCCCGTACAACATAATTTCAAGGTTATATGAAAAATAGAAATTAAGAACCTGTTATACCCGAAGGAGATTAAACTATGCGTAACTTCCGGGATCTATTCATAGACTGTCATTATATATATATATATATATATATATATATATATATATATATATATTCTAATTGTATAACTGTTAAGTAACTAGATTATATATATTTATATTCCTTCTATCATAAGCTTTTATTTGAACTGTTGACTGTTATTATATGATTTACTATTCTTAGGTTATTCCCTGCTTATGTTTGGGCTCCCGATCAGTATCACAGTCCTCACACAAATCAATGATAACTGTTATTGGCCTCACTGTTATTGTGTGGCGCATATGTATTTGTTGTCCCCTTGTACCAATGTTTATGTGTTCAAATAAATAAATAAACCAATTTACTAGTTACAGTCTCTCACAACCACAAGTCGGTGTTCCGATTGGCGGTTTTGTCACGTGATATATTAGCAGGGCAAAGGTAATAACAGAACCACCGTCTATCTTGTGACCTTCGTTATCATTTGTGATTAACTATTAATTATATGATAAGTAACTTAGTCACTTTATATTGACTGAATATTCTTGCAAGCAGATAACGAATTCAATTATTTAGTATAAATAATTCCTAGTCACTTGGTGAGTTGTTCAGTATGCTGAAATCTTTCTTGTTTTGAGGACAGAGTTAGTTTAGTAGATAAAATATCTATTTCGCCATCTCAACTACTGTAAAATAGTTTTGCAAAATCAACTAAGCCCTTATAATAGTTATGTTTTTGTATAAAAATAAGTAAGTAGTATTGTGGTGTATGCTACTTATGTCTGTCTGTATAATCAGTATGTAACAGCAATCGGAAGTGGAAAACCTGGCAGCAGAAGGCTAAGAAGATCAAGTTGAAGATAATAGAAATGGAAATAGAAAGGAATTGTAAAATGGAAGAATTGTACAAAATATGAAGGACAAATGATGGAAATTTGCAAATGACGTATTCAGTGTATGGTTTTTTAAACATGCCGGTTGTCCTCACCTGGATTTTTAATCACAACAGTATGACTGATTAGGGATTAAAATTATGTATTGACTAAATTATGATGCAGAGAAACACTAACTTTACACAGTTATGAAAATCAATTAGTGATACATTAATGAACTCAATCAACGTCGTATTACCGACAATCAATAGAATCCAAATTAACGTTATCTACACTGCAGATATACCTTTTTGACAAATCCCAACTAGCATACAATGTATGGTCAGAATTTCTTACCGAATACTATCAACATATAATATTAAAATATATAGAACACCTAGTGTGAAGTCCATAGGACAACAGTGACCATATTGCGATTTGATCGATGAAACTATCAGTGCTAATAATTAGACTAAGAAGACATTAGTTAGACAATGATCAATAACTACAAATTGGAAGAAATACGGTAGTCAATATTTTTAATTACCATCAACATGTCTCAGTTCTGCTGACAGTCATCAACAGAAAAACTTTCAGATAAAATACTAAACAAGAGATTTTACTGATGGATAACGTGTTTGAGCGTCTAAATAAGATTTACTAATACTCAGAATTCTTCCACTCCTAAGAATCCAAAAGAAAACAGAAGGCATGTTGTATAGAAGAAGCTCAACTTTGAAAGTTATGTCATGTACCAAAACTAAGGTTATTTTTATGATTTCATATGAGCACTGATTGGTTGACTTATTTTTCCTAGCATTTATCATAGATTCTGGAAAACTTTCTCCGCTGAATTATCGAGAGCTTCTACAATGTTTACTGCGTTAAAATTTTCATGAAAACCACAAATATGGGCATATTAACTCATATTATTCCTAGGAAATATTTATATAAACAAAATAACCATATCTTATGAGCTAACAAGACCTACTTTTGAGTCAGATAGGGTATCCGTATCTTCGCTAATCGATAGTGGATCAAACGAACAAAGATTATTATTATTGTTGCCATTATTTGCTGGAGCATATTGTTTATCATTCTCAGATAATTTAGTAATATTATCTACATCTGATGAATCTGTTGTATTATTGGAATTAGGACATATATCTGGAGGAAACCAAAAAAAAGAAGAAATAGTAATAATGACATAACAGTTGAATTATTGACTTTTATTTGGTTACTTAGAGAATAATGAAAGAGATTATATCATAATCTATCATCATAAGTATATAAGCATTATTATTTATCCAGGTCTAAGTATAAAAACAAAATGACATTGATCAAGCTTTTCAAAAATAATAAATAAATAATAAATGTACAAAGTGAAAACAATTTGGTAGCTTATAATCACGTGATCACATTATTAAGGAGGGAGGGAGAGAGCCATGTAATACGATTAGTAAATGTATTTTACATGTGAAATAATCACTATTCAGAGTATGAGATGAGAATATAATTCTATGAACGAGTTGATGAGATTTGAGTAAGTGATCTCAACGTTACGGCGAATATCAAAATACCGTATATATACTTGTGATCGTTAAACTGTTGATTTCAAAGCTTTATAGTTCATTGCCTACAAGAGATGAAATCGTTGAGAGGATTCATTAAGCATTGTGGGGTATAAATGACTGCTAGGCAATGTGTAGGTTATAATGATGGTTGCTGAGGATGTTGGAACCCAGAAACTACTTGGTAAACCACTTATTTTTGTAATGTAATTATAGGAATTCGAATTTCTCATTTTCGTACCAGAAGTATCCACTTTTACCTTTAGTTTTTGTTTCCCATCTGGATGGATTTTAGATGTTACTGGTCTATCTTCTCTTCTGGTACGCTACATTGTGACGCTTTCCAAGAACATTTTTGTGTTGTATATATACGCATTAGTTGAGGGCTTATTGTTAGTTTTTCCAGGTTGCTTGTAAAACCATATATTTTTCCGGCTGAATCTAGTCTTCTTCCTCTACTTAGCAAAGATAGGGTGCAGTGGAATAGATTAGCCTGTTCTGTTGTTGTGTCGCTGACTTTCGTCCCGTTCACCGGTCCTAAATGATATCTTAACCCCCGAAAATATCAATAGCAAGTTGTCCCAATCAAATGTGTTAGAGGGAACAATAACCATATATGGGGATATTTTTGTTTATTCCAAGTTAACTTCGAAAATAATTACGCTGATTCTTGTAAACTGGATAATAATGGCACTAGTTACACTAGCTTTTACTTTTGCTGATGTTATTGTCTTCCCTTGCAGGAGGAAACTGAAGTGGATGAAGTAGGGTTAGAACTTGTGATTGGTTAGTCGAAATTCGATTGCACTAACCGCCAAGTCAAAACTCCTCTATCAATAGTAAATTCTTTCCCTAAATGGTTCAAATTACGAATTTGTTTCTGGAAACATATCTCACCTACGATGATGACCCTAATGTAATACGTAGAAACTATCAGCTCTACAGTACCTTTCAAACTTTGATCAGAACTGTTTCATTATGCTCTAATAGTCTTTCAGTGAAAAACTATTTTCTGTTATCAAGTGAGTCGATAGATTATTTATTTATTTATACACATAAATATTGGTACAAGAGGGCACCAGATAGATATGCGCCACACAAATCTCATTCGATTTGTATGAGGGCTGTGATACTGCCCAATAGAAATGAAGTTCTGTATTTGTACAACTAATGATGAGTAAATCTTAGCTAGACCATCAATGGAAACCAGGAAGCACTGGTTAGATGTTTCGTCCTATTATGAGACTGACTCTTAAGAAGTGGCCATTCACAACCCAGCTACAGGGAATCGAATCCAGGACCTTCAGTCTTGTGCATGAAGGCATAATCTCCAGACCACTAAGTCGGCTTCCAGGGGTGTATATTTTTAAATTCAATTAATTCACGAGATTGTAGGACCATCTTTCATTGCTTGCAGTAGATAACTGTCTCACATCAACACGGTTGAACTCCATTAGTCACGGCTTATCAATAAAGCTCCAGGAACTGTATCTTGGTGCTAGTCACTAGTGAGCACATGACGATTATCAGTATATGGTTTTAGCCTGAAGATGCAATGCCTGGAGCTCTAGTGAGAAGCCATGATCAGTGGAGTTCAGTCGTACAGGGTGTGACAGTTAGCAATCGCAGACAATAGGAGATAGTTGCGCAATATCGTAAATGACGGATTTTGTAACTTGTGTATAAGAATGTTCGAATAAACTGTTTTATATATATATATAACTATTATCATTATTATTATTCAGCGACCATTGTATGCGGTTGTGTGACGTAACATGAAATGCGACAACCTTAATTTCTTCATAATCCAGTCGTCCAATCTAAAACCACCCACAGACATCACAACAAAAACCAAAATATCCATCTAGTGTTGGGATCCACATTCGTAAGGGGATCTCAACATTTCTATGCTATACTCAATACGACAACACAACCATATTATTAATCACTCATAACCTCATACATGAACACACACAGGTGAGAAATAATTCAACAACAAACTATACACTAGCAATGAAGATTAAATCAACTAATAACTCCTATTGGGAACAAAATATATTTAAATAGGAAGCAATAAAGCTACAATGAGACCATATGGTTCTAGTGATGAGATTTTTTAAAAAAGAACATTTATTATCGAAACACATACACAGACACACACACAAATACAAACGTACATACAGACAAAAAGGCGAAAACATACCATTTTTATTCCCTTGATGAACACTACTACTATTGATGCTATTATCGTCATGGTCTATTTTTTCCATCGTACTATTCGATTTAATTATTGTAGAATGTTTTTGATCTTCACTACCATGGGTTAGTATTGTGTTGTTATCCATTAAATTATTATTTAATTTGGAAGTGATTGTGTTGGAAGGTGAAGACAAAATTAATACATCTCGAGTTTTGCTGTTTCTATTATTATTATTATTATTATTATTATTATTATTATTATTATTATTATTATTATTCGATGATAAATTATTTAGTTCAAGTGAGACTGTTGAAGCCACTGATACACAGGCGTTATGTGATACATTCAATTTGTTTTCAATTTTACTCGTTACCACTACTTCAGGAACTGAATTATAGTCGAGATTTGATGTTTGAAAATTCATTAATTCACGAGATCCTAAACTTAAACAAGCCCATAAAGGTGGAGATTTGAAGTATGGATTATAGTAGCGATCAAGTAAACGTGCACGAACCTGTAATGAATTAATGTAAAAAGGAAAGAATAACAAAATGTTATTATCGGGTATTATCTTTATTTATCTAAAGAAAAAATTAAATAAAACTAATGGATCATACATCGTCCGTAAAAAGTAAACTGCATTATTATTATTATTATTATTATCATATGCGCAACAATGTTCTAAGAAACATTCCCAAGTAGACGTAGATAAAACTAGTTTGATATTTTGAATCCATACAGCCAATGAAATGTCAAAAAAATTAAACCATATTTACCGGAACAGCTGATATCCTCATACTCTGTTTAAATTATTAAAAGGATGATTACAAGAAGGCTTTGATCATTACATCATAAGTTATGCATTATAACCAACCAAGATATTATAGTTACAACACAATGTGGTGTAGTAGTGCTTATCATATATATATATTTATCAGCAATCTATCTTTATCTGTACAAGCTTGACTAGTAAATATGTCGCTACTAATCGAATTCACCATATTGTACATATTTTCATAGATGTAATTATTTGCTCGTTTATTTTATAACTTTTTTTTCCAGATTTATGTATGCTGGTCAGTATGTGTGTTTATTTCCCACCTATTAACTGTTTTATGACTCTACATAAATACAGCTTAAAGATGGAGTTTGCCAGTATGCCGATTTTCATGAAAAATTCTTATAGTGACTCTAATGCTTTGTCTAAATTATAATATACACGTGACAAGTTTTAAAATATATAAAAGATTAATCCAAGATATGTATTGCAGACCAGCAAAGTATAGAATTATATGGCGCAATAAAATCAACAGATTTTAACCACATTTACAGACAAATGAACAATGCAGAAAATCAACTATAAGTACGGATATAATTCGAAGATGACGATGATGGAGAAGAAACTCTAGTGTTAATCATTTCTATTCTAATGCAATTACCAATGATTCTAGTCAGTATGCATTACAATCCAATTCAGTTACAAAGAGATCTAATTCTAGCATTAATCCATTACTATTATTAAGCCAGTCCAGTTGTGTTCATTCAACCCCGTTAAACTTTGATTGTTTGTTAATAATATACGCACTAGTTGATCTAATTACTTAAACACATCCATTTAGGAACATTCAATATAAGAGTTCTTGCCTAATTCATTCGCCCTCAATCATCAAGTTAAAAATATGAAAAATAACAGAAACATTGTAACATAAGCTTGTTTTAAAGGAATAAGAAAAACCATCTAATAAAACTAATTCACAAGAACAACTAAGCAACCAAACTCATCAAGAATTGTTTGTAAGATCAATAGTCAAAGAAAAAAAAAAGCATAAGACAAGGAATTTAATAGACAAAGTGTATTTTACTTGAGATAAAGAATATTTTGTAGATAGACTAAATTACTGAGAAATCTTGCGAAAGAAGCAGCTTAAAAAATTCAAGGATTAACTTCATTCCATTTCACACAAGTTGAAAGATACAACAATTACATTAAACAACGGAATCGCTTAATTGATTTATGAGAATAAAAGGCGGCAGTTGAGTTTCACGTAAATGCTATAAAACCATATATGTGAGAGCATGAAGGTAAATGAAATACGGAAAGTCCTAAAATATTCCTAAAATATTATTACTGCAGTTAACCAATAAACAATAAACGCATTATCATAAACCTAAACTGTGAGCCATTGAGGTGAAAGTGAAGCAACGACCAGTTTACAAATCAGGTCATTAAAGTAATCAATCGAAAAAATGAAGACGCAATATTGATGCTGATAATGATCGAAGATATTCTAAGCATTCAGAGGCAGCTGTTAAGACATGCACGAAAAATCAGAGCTCATTTGTCTTTTGATCTTATGTTGTCACATCAGGACGGTGAAGGCTTTATGAGCAAATCCATTACGTTATTTATTGTCTCCATTGGTAGGTTAATAGTATTCGATCACAGATATCTTTGAATCATAATTTTCGGACGACTGAATGAGCGCTGCTGAGGCTACGTATGGGACATTAGGTAAAGGAGACACATTCGTTGATTAAACAGTGAATCTTTATCAACTAAGGTGGTTGGAAGATGTGTTTTCTACTTACTTAGTTTCGCCTGTTACTCCCAACGGAGCATAGGCCGCCGACCAGCTTTCTCCAACCCACTCTGTCCTGGGCCTTCTTTTCTAGTTCTATCCAGTTCTTGTTCATTCTTCTCATGTCTGTCTCTATTTCTCGGCGTAATGTGTTCTTTGGTCTTCCTCTTCTCCTTTGACCTTCAGGATTCCATGTGAGGGCTTGTCTTGTGACGCAATTAGCTGATTTCCTCAAGGTGTGCCCAATCCACTTCCAGCGCTTCTTCCTGATTTCTTCCTCTGCTGGAATCTGGTTTGTTCTCTCCCACAGTAACTTATTGCTGATAGTATCTGGCCATCGGATCCGAAGTATCTTGCGTAGACAGCTGTTGATAAACACTTGTATCTTCTGGATAATGGCTTTCGTAGTTCTCCACGTCTCCGCCCCATACAGTAGAACTGTCTTGACATTTGTATTGAAAATTCTAACCTTGGTGTTGGTTGACAATTGTTTTGAGCTCCAGATGTTTTTCAGCTGTAGGTATGCTGCTCTTGCTTTGCCGATCCTCGCCCTCACAACTGCATCTGATCCACCATGTTCATCAATGATGCTTCCCGGATATGTAAAGGTTTCCACATCCTCCAAAGCTTCTCCGTCAAGTGTAATTTGATTGGTGCATATTGTGTTGTATCGGAGAGACTTACTTTTCCCTTTGTTTATATTGAGACCTACTGCTGCTGAGGCTGCTGCTACACTGGTCGTTTTCTCCTGCATTTGTTGTTGCGTTTGTGATAGAAGAGCCAGATCATCCTCGAAGTCTAGATCGTCAAGTTGCATCCTGCCTGTCCACGGTATCCCGTGATTTCCTCCAGATGTTGATGTCTTCATGATCCAGTCGATCACCAGGAGAAAGAGAAAGGGTGAGAGTAAGCAACCTTGCCTAACACCGGTCTTCACTTGAAACGAGTCGGTAAGTTGTCCTCCGTGGACGATTTGGCAGTTTAGTCCATCATAGGAGTTCCGTATGATATTGACTATCTTCTCAGGCACGCCGTAGTGTCGAAGAAGCTTCCATAGTGTCGTCCTGTCCACGCTATCAAATGCCTTCTCGTAGTCGATGAAGTTGATGTAGAGTGATGAATTCCATTCGATTGATTGTTCCACAATGATCCGCAGAGTTGCGATTTGATCTGTGCACGATCTATCCTTACGAAATCCACCCTGTTGATCTCGAAGTTGGGTGTCCACGGAATCCTTCATCCTGTTTAACAATACTCGGATGAAGACTTTCCCTGGTATTGAGAGGAGAGTGATGCCCCTGTAGTTGTCGCACTTGCTCAGATCGCCTTTCTTTGGTATCTTGATCAGAAGTCCCTTTTTCCAGTCTGTTGGTACTTGTTCTTCATCCCAAATCTTACTGAAGAGAATGTGGAGTATCTTGGCAGTTGCTGCTACATTTGCTTTCAGTGCCTCTGCCGGGATGTTATCTGGTCCCGCTGCTTTGCCACTCTTGATTTGTCTAATGGCCATGCTGATCTCTTCAATTGTTGGTGGGCCAATATCGATTGGGAGGTCCATGGGTGCTGCTTCGACGTTGGGTGGGTTCAGTGGGGCTGGTCGATTCAAGAGTTCTTTGAAATGTTCTACCCACCTGTTTCGTTGTTCTTCAATGTCGGTGATTACTTTGCCTTCCTTGCTTTTCACTGGTCTTTCAGGTTTACGGTAATTTCCAGCAAGTTTCTTTGTTGTATCATACAGTTGTCTCATGTTTCCCTCTCTTTCAGCCTTTTCAGCTGTCATCGCTAAATCTTCCACATATTTACGTTTGTCGGTTCTGATGCTCCTCTTCACTTGCTTGTTTGCCTCTGTGTATTCGGCTTGTGCCTTAGCTTTTTCCGCTCTTGTTCGGCTGATATTGATTGCTGCCTTCTTGTTCCTCCTTGCTTCAATCTTATCAAGTGTACCAACATTGATCCATTCCTTGTGATGGTGCTTCTTTTGGCCCAGAACCTCCTGACATGTTGAAACGATTGCCTCCTTGATACTTTTCCAGTTGCTCTCCATGGTAGTCCCCTCTCCATTGAGTAGGTCATGAAAAGCCTCGAACCTGTTGCTGAGGGCTATGTTGAATTTGTTGAGTTTGTCAGCATCTCGAAGAAAGGCCGTATTAAACTTTTGTGATGTTGTCCGCCCCGTTGTCCAGTGCTTCTTGAGTTTTAGTTTCATCTTGGTGACCAGCAAATGATGATCGGATGCTATATCAGCTCCTCTTCTGGTTCTCACATCCTCCATCGTCCTCCTGAACTTTTTGTTGATGCAGATATGGTCGATTTGATTCTGTGTAGTGTGATCCGGTGAAATCCAAGTGGCTTTGTGTATGTTTTTGTGTGGAAATATGGTGCCACCTATGACCAGTTTATTGAAGGCACATAGGTTTGCAAATCTCTCACCATTTTCGTTCCTTTCTCCCAGTCCATGTTGTCCCATGACGTCTTCGTATCCAGAGTTGTCCATTCCAACCTTAGCATTGAGATCTCCCATCAGAATTGTCAGGTCCTTGGTTGGGCACTTCTCGACGATCGACTGCAGCCTATCGTAGAATTGGTCTTTAGTGTCTTCATCGTAGTCGTTGGTAGGCGCATAGCATTGGATGACGTTCATTGTAATGCCCTCTCTCCTTGTTCTGAAGGAAGCTTTGATGATCCTTGGTCCATGAGATTCCCATCCTATAAGTGCATTTTGTGCTTTTCTGGACAGCATCAATGCAACTCCTTGTGTATGTGGGGCATTTTCTTCTTCATGACCGGAGTATAACAGAAGTTCTCCTGAAGACAGTCGTTGTTGTCCAACCTGCGTCCGATGTGTTTCACTGATTCCAAGCACTTCCAGGTTGTATTTTCTCATTTCTGCAGCAATTTGGAAGACTCTTCCGGTCTCCCACATAGTTCGGACATTCCATGTACCTATAAAAATTGTCGCTCTGGTTGTAAGAAGGTGTATCGGCCTCATGACTTCCGAAGGAACTCGGCTTTCATCATGAGACGTCATAATTATTCCTTCTACTCCCAGGGCAGAGTTTGAAAGGTTTGAATGATTTTTTCTGGTTAGCGTTTTTTTAGCGAGTTGATTTTCTACGGGATGGGGTCGCTAACCCCATGCCCAACCCTCCTCCTTTACCCGGGCTTGGGACCGGCAGTAACCCCAGAGGAGCTACAGGCGGAGTTGTTACGTATGTCCAAACATCCACTCCGACGGACGATGTTATTTGGTGTATGAGTAGGCTAGAAAGAGGTCCAAGCCAAGACAGAGCAACAAACCATCAAGTCATTGACAATTCGACCAAACCATATTAATAGGTGCAGACTACCTAGTTGGGGTCTGCGTGATTATCGTAACCAATGATGCATTCACTCTTTGTTTTTCTCTAGAACCGGAGTCCCGAAATTCTCTTATGCCTTTTTTTATCTTTATACCTAACCTTTCTTTACTACTGCTGATATGGTTACTAATACTGCGCTGGGATTTATATTGAAATAATTTTATCTCGCCGTGCTAATATGGTATGGGGACCTACGTTGTACATAAATGACTGACTGATTCACTAATTGTCAAGGTAATTTCTGAAAATAAACGCTTACTCGATCAAGTTTTGATATATCATCTCTATACATACGAAATAGATATACAGCTAGGGCATCTTCTTGAGCACGTTGACCTTCAATAAAATAAGTGAATAATCTTTCTGGTACACGAGATTTTACACCCAATACTGATAAGATAGATTGTAAACCTAATTCTCCATCTGATGCAATACGAACATTGATAGGATGATCAATTTTTTCCGATTCTAACAAATGATGATTAGAAGTAGTTCCGTTAGTGTAATTATATATGTCCATTGCTAATGGTAGACCACTTCCAGCTAGTACTGCACCAGTTGACAATACTGGATAGGCAAAAAAATTTTCCATTAATGAAATATTAATGTTTGGTGCAACATTTTCTGTATCTTGATGAATGGGTGGTATAAAATTAACTGATTGTGAAGATAAATAATTCCCATTCGATCGAACTACACCGACCAATTGATGAAATAAATAAGTGGCCAAATTGAATGGGACATGAATATCTACAATATGATTCAGTAAAAAAAACGATCAGCAAAATTCACGAATAAGTCGCATAAAATATAAACACTGATTATCCAATAAAAATTGATATTATTTCCTAAATATTGTTTTTTTTACAAAAGTCACGAAGTAATGTGCAATGGATAAACAGGATAGAACAACACATGGTAATTAATATCGATATACAACATAAAATACTTATGGTGAATAAAAAAATGTCGATAATCAAACCAACATTCGAAAATGTATATTTAATAGCAAAGCGGGAAGACCGATTTATTGTTTAGTGAAGAATTACAGAGTACCTTCGTAAAATATGAAAATCATACGTTAAATACATTATTCTCACATCTTGTATCGGTTGTCCTTTACATACTTCATGATTCAATTCTGTTTTTATTACAATTACTTGCTGTTTCCCTTTCTGTTCTCTTCAATCTCCACTCTCGATTGGTTCTACATACTACTTATATCTGTCAACATAAGTAGCATACACCACATATGTACTATTAGTTACTTGTTAATATCACTGTACCATCATAGTAATAAAAGTATGAAATGAACAAACATAAATTAATCTTCCAAGTTAATATATAGACGGATATCACGTAGAACTGGTCGATTAAATTGAACAAGTCAAAAATAAAAACAACTAGCCTTTATGAGATTAGAGAAAGTTAAAATTTTCTAGAAAACTGATTTCATGATATATAAGACCAGGAAATTTGAAACAAAATAATAAGGATTGTCTGACTAAGACATTAGTTCATGAAATTACCGAATTTCGTTTATTTCAGAAGTTTTACTGGTATAGACACAAAGTCTCTTCTGAAATCTAACCCTATGTAAGAAATATCTACCTTCATCAACTACTCTACCAACCAACCTAGATTTTCGACTTTTACATTTTATACAATTTCTACATAATTTACTACAGATTAATAAGTATTATTGTACCGATCCATATGAATTCAACAGTTTGTGTAAAGTGGAAGGAAAACAAGTGAAATTTACGCACAAGTACTCACCTTTTTGATGTAATGTTAAATTTGATACTAATTGTTTAGCTTCACTACGTATACTTGATATTACATGTGGACATGCAATATGAATTGGTAAAAAACAAAGTCGAGTAAGCAATGCAATTTCTATAACAAATAATTTTACTTCTAACAATGGACTACAACATGGTGGTCGAGGGAATTTCAATGCACAAAATCCAAGACGAAAAATCAACTCAATATCAATACATTCCCATATATCAAAAGATTTATTTAAATCAATGTTGTTAGTTTCTGTTTGCTTTCTGTGATCAGTGGTATTATGGTTAGCATTATTATTATTTATACAACTATCATTGTTAATAATACTATTATTTGTATTATCAAAGCGTGTTGTTTTAGGGAAGAAAATATTCCCATTAGTTGAAGAATTCGGTATACTAAAGATACGTTCCTTGTGTGCATTTGAAAGGCACTCCATGATACAACGTATTTGATCCAGCCAACGAATAGCCTGTAATTTATAAACAATGTATACATATATAAGCATTTCGCTTTAGTAAAAGAAACAAATTATCATAATATTAGTGTACTAAAATCAAGATCATTATTATGTCATGCCATCTAGTGTATACTTATTAATGGTTGTAACTGTAGTAACTGAATAAATAATTCTAACAATAAAATAGCATATATAAAGATCAAGAAATTCGTGTAATCGTGTTTGGAAATAATCGGCCATTCAAAGATATCCCGAAAAAATTCAAAGATATGACTCCACACGTCAAAATCCACACTATATAGAGAAATGAAAAATGATATCCTCAGTTCGATAGGTACTGAAAACAAGACGTTTCCTTCTAGTATTACATTATAAATTGTTAGACACCAACTCAGTCCTCAGGAAACAAAGCAGTTACCATGAATTGGGAAAGTCCTAGGGTTCGACCCCGGTGGGATCGTGGGTAGAAAAAAAGAAAGGTCATAAATTTACTTCAATGAATTGTTGACTAGAAATTTCTTTGGTGTGGTAACTATACTACTTTTCGAAAATAGACGTTGAATTCTATAAAAATCTTATTGCACATATTCAAAATTATTCTAGATTAATAGAAATCAAAGGAAAAGAGCAATATAAATGTATGACAGATAAACACACACTATTTACCTTTTTAGTATATTCAATGGATAATTTTTTACCTAATGGGTGTAATTTAATTGAATTTGTATATTTCTCTGTCGTTTCTCGAGGATTATTCGTGTTTGAACATGCACCAGTTTTCTTAGAACGTCCATTTCGTGAATTCCTTCGAGGATTTGAACTAGCGCCGCCACCAACACCACCAGGTATACCATTTGAACTCCATGAACTTGACACTGTACTTGTGGGCATTGATTTCTGCTGAACACGTGAATTAGACTGATAGTTAGCAGGACATGAATCTTGTAGATTAGTTCTATGTGAATTGTCTGTGTTCCGACTGATATTAGCTACATGATTAGTAGTATTAGTTTCAGAAGATTGATATTTTGCTCTGCCAACAATCTCAAAAGAAGCTTGTTCACATTCATTGATAAATTCATTACTGGTATACAGTAATAGAAGAGCTAGAAAACGTGCCCAATGTAAAGCTTGTTCCGTATAACCATGAGTGTTAAGTGCTTGAAATCTTATAAAAGCAAACTATAACACAAAAGAAAGAAAGCAAACAGACAGACAAACATCATTCTGTACTAAGGAGAGTTTAGATTATCTAGTTATTTTTGTTATCACAAATCAGTTTTTTCGTAAAGGGTAACTTAGATGACGCTTTTTTAATTCATAATTCTTCAGTGGCCTTTTCTGTTATGTGACTGGCCATCATCGCTTTTTGTTTGCTAACTTTGCTACATACCCCAAGATCAATGCATGTTAACATACAGAGTTGTCTCTCTTCAACTTTTGACCTATATTCATATTATAAAGCTGTCCTGAAACTCCCATCTCCATTTCATATTAGCTTGTGTGTCAGAAATCCAATCACTTAGAGTTCATATTCGTTCTAGTTCGTATTAGAAAATTCTCAAATGTTCGTAAATAGAATTTTCTGTAGACCAACCGAAAACTTTAACACGTAATTATTTCTTTTTTTAAGATATGACATTATGAAATTTTAAAAAATCTATTTCGTATTTTTTAATGATCTGGATATTTTGAATTCAACATTCAACAGCACCGTGTTTCGTATGACGGCTGCAAACTATGCTCTTCAGTTGTTCACATGGTAGTATGCAATGAACCTGCAACCAAACGGTTATATGAACACTAAAAATCTACTGAGTCCATTTAAAACCATTTGTGATATGAATCAAAAAATGAATTAAATATTAAAGCTGTACATTTTACCCAATATGACCATGACCATAGACACCATCCATCTTTGCTTACAATGCTTATGAATGAAGGCAATATCGAGGCAACCCTCACAGGATGCACATGTGCCAATAAGAGACTGATCGCTTCCAGTCCCAAACATCAATGGAAAGATTCAAACAAACAATACAAAATGAACTTAACCATATTTGCTTTTAGATAATGAAGATAATAATAAAAAATAGTAAATCAATAACTTTATGTCAGTAGTTTACAACTGACTAAAATAAAAAACTAATCAGAAAAGAGGATTTAGCAAATACAATAAGTAAACTGGATTACAAGTGAATCAGTTAGTCAGTCATAAGAAACGCTGAACTTGGCACATACGTGCATCGATTCAAGTTGTCACATCACATAAGTAGAACGAGATGAAATTCACAAGATAAATATAAAAATTAGTAGAAGAGATAACAGTATCAGCGGCAGTAGGAGAAGTTCAATATAGAGAACATGATTCTTGAGGAAACGATAAATTCGTGCAGTAGAAGCGTAAGACATAATTCTAAAACTTAAAATTTAATGTCCCACAACTTCACAAACTACGGATATCAGAAAAACACTTCACATCTTTGTATAGTAAATGATACTAAATAAAGTACCTCTGAAAATTTTTAACACTATGATATATGAAATAAGGAGACATAAGATTTCAGGAGACAGAATGAAATAACGTAAGAAAATATAAGAGAATAACCACTACCTGGCTTTAATTAGAGACTAAAACCCGAGAATAAAAGGGAAAAAAAGAACAGATGAATCTGCACCGATAGTACAGACTTAGATCCAGGTCTCTTAAACTGTACAAATATAAATCAAGCTTGTCCTACAATGAGTTTAACTAGAAAGCATGCATCTCAATTACAGACTATTCAGATTACCAGTTAGCTAGCTTCCATGAATTAAGCTAATGTGTGAGGCTGTCCAAACAAAACAAGCCATTAGTACTATTAGTATAAGTGTTTCGGTGAACAATTGCACCAGAGATTTTATGTTCTACTAGCTGATTGACTTCAATAAGTGCTAGGCTTTCACAAAATCATCCTCCAATGTTCATTTTACTTCATGACATACAGAAATATTCAAAATATTACCATCTAACAGCTTACTTCGATATGATTTTCCGGTAAAGGAAGATTATTCAATAATTGCGAATTCATTTGGTCTATACTCCAATAATTATCTAATTCAATTGGACAATTATGACTATGGTTATTGTTATTATCATTGTTACTTCGCAAGGAATTGTAATAATGTTTTGAAAAACTCAAAATCACATCTGCATAATCTGTTGTTTCAGAATCACTATTTACATGTGCACCAGAAAATAATGGCATAACTATAAAATATAAAATAATATTTCAAGAGAAAAATTAAAACGACTTTTTTCTTTACAGATAATGACAATAACAACAATAATTAAAATGAAATTGTAAACCAGTTTTTCTAATTACAGTTATTATCGGTAGTTTATATTCACTTTTTTGGTTATTATTATCTAATAACAGGATCAAAGAGTCCCTAGTACAGGGATTTGTGGACATTGTTGAATTTTGTAGTTTATACCATACATCAGCCACAGTTAGATAACTGCTGAAAATCAAAAAGCATTGGACAGTAGTTTTGTTCTACAATAAACAGACATCCACGACTCAATCGGGTATAATATATTCTAATAAGCTCATTCATCGAATACATGAGTGTGAGTAACGCTCTAAGTATTAGGGTTAATGATACTATTCGGTCCCCAAAGCGAAATAGACGGAAAGGACTTCGAACGTGGGGACTTAGTGGACGAAAGTAAAACACCCTAACCACTAAGCCATCTCTCCACATATCTAACGGGGACCGAACTCAGGACCATTTAAGTCTTGTAACATGAACATAACCTCTAGACCACCAATGGTTCGCATTTCAAACTTCTGTCACCTTGCGATATTGCACAATCATCATCCAACGCCACTGTTTGGTAAATGCTTCACTGCTAGCATGATTTAGTTTCAATAGTCATACACTCAAATTTTCACCAATTAAATACCTACGTAATATGAATACAGTTCGTTATTTCTATGATCACAGGTTCGTATAAATTAAATAAGTATTTTAAAAGAACTTTTCAATTCCAGACAGATGATTCCCAAGTAGGTTGTAAAAACGTTTTCAACACTACAGCAAATGCAATAACATTCAAAAAACAAAATAAAATGTATGGATTATAATAACTTGTACCTAGATATTGTTCGCTACATAAGAAATTTAAACATTAATATATAGTGTTGAAGAGACGTAGTGAACATACATTTGAGAAATTCTGTACCGGAGAGGCCATATGTAGGTGGAACTTCGGAAGACCATGAAAGCCTAAAATTATGAACAAAATCCTTGTGTCAATTGTGTTTTAGAAAAAATGAATAGAACATGAACTGAGTAACAACATTCATTAAAACCTCGTTTAGTTTAAGGTTATTTTATTCGAAAACTGACATCAACTGGCAAACTAGTTAAGTACCAACAAGCTTTGTACAGTTATTTCAAAATAACCTTGAAATTATCTACAGTTATAAGCCGAAAACGATGATTGAGGTAGAAATCAAGACTTTGGAGTCTTGCGATGAGGATGAAACCACTGAATCATCGACTAACTATAAAGTGGTTCAAGCTTAGTCAATTTATGATATCGTATGTCCCAGTAAGCTTGATACGATCTAGTTGTGAATTGTCAATCCGTTAGATCTACAATGTAATTCAGTAATAACAGAAAAGATAGATTAGATTGTGCATATTTTCAGCACTATGGGTAACTAGTGAAGATGAGTGACCTTCAATAAATCCGTTCATCATCCAACATGAAAATGCGTATTATAACACCAGGTGACATGAATAAAAAACAATCATAGTAAACTATATAGATCAACCCTTTGTCTCCTCCTATATGCACAGTTTCAAAACTATTTTGTGTTTTGTATTTCCCTAACTCATTCAGTCGCGTTACATTCTCCAAGGCTAATCAATTTTAATATCAATGATATTACTGCTTGATAATTTCTTCTTACTCTTCCGATGCAGTATAGTCACTTAGGTTGATGCATATTATACCAGGTCCTACGTTTCTAATATCTGACTGATTTTTGAGATGTCAAACGATTTGTTTGATACCAAATCATTTTAGCCTATATATTAGAGGAATTACTAATTACTAATTTACAAGAATGGATGATGGTTAGCAGTAGAATCCAGGACGTGTATTTAGTCTTATTTGGGACTCGCCAGCTGGATATACCTGCATCCCACAGTTGATGTTCACTCCGGGACTCGAACCCAGCACGGCTCGCTTCAAACGCAATCACACTATCCACTTAACTACTGAGTCCAGATAGCCGCTAGCTTGTGCAACGGGGTGAAGTTTTAATTCATTTTTGTAAATAGATAACGCGATGGTGTTTGAAGTGAACAGAGTGAGCATCAACTCTGGGATGCAGGTACATTCGGTTGACGAGTACCAAGTAGGACGAAACGTGCACAGAATGCACACATATCAACAAGAGACTGCTCTATTTTACAAAGTTATAGAAAACTCAAATAATGTAAACATATTGATAAATTCAACAAGTACAAATCACAAAATGAACAAACATAAATTTTACTTCTCTTTACTACAAAAATACCATTTTAAAGAACGTAGGAATAAACTTCTGATATAGTTAAGTATTGTTGTTTAATTTGATGCTAAAGTAACTGAACGTTAAAATGGATCAAAAAATAATAATAGTGAGTTACTGTCTAGAAATGTACTACCTGCAAGCTGCAAGAGCCGGCAAAAAGCCCGAAAATAGCGAAATATTTTTGGGTATTATATCACAGTCATCTTGAGAAGATATTTCATTAGGAAATAATCCATTGCCTAATGTATCACACCAAACCATAGTCATCGTATTTTTAGCAGTTGTACTTGTTAAATTTATTTGAATATCAGCTTGTTTTAAAGCGAACGCATGAAATGCTTGTAGCCTATGAGCAATTTTTTGTAAAAGCCAACAACAATCTGAATAAGATTTACAATTTTCAGTAGAAAATAAACCGCTTCCACATGATGATGACGGTGACAATGGTTTATGATTGACATGATTTAAAATTGGTCGAAGTTCGGGATTTAAACAAGCTAAACTCCAAAGTTGAACAATTTCTTCGCATAACCAAACAGCAACACATTGAGTTTGTTTTTGACGAACAGATACACTTTCAGGAAAATGACAAGGATTAGTTTGAACAGTACACCACCAGAACATAACCTATAAGCATAATAATAATCAATTTTTTTATATTCTGAATAGCTGAATAAGAATCATCAGTTTGAAATCTATGGAAATTTACCATAGCCTACTTTGACTACAGTATTACACAATTTAATGTTAACCCTAGACACCAAGTATCGGCGTTCCTGAAATCAGGGCTTTGAACCATACTGTTGTATATGATAATTAATGGTGTGATACTACTCCGTGTAAAAAAACGTAAGGTAGATAAATAGAAGTTTGAGATTGGAACTCCATTGTTGAAAGTTCAGTGTTTAAAGACTATTCACTTTATTAATATTACGACAACTTTGTGTAAAATCTAATTTTTTCAAAAAATAAACATTTATTAGCATTATAAGCAAAGATGGATAGTGGATAGCAGTGGAACCCAGGACGCCTGTTTCATCCTATTTGTGGCTCGTCAGCTGGATGTACCTGCATCTCAGAGTTGATGTTCACCCTGAGACTCGAACCCAGTACCTTACGCTTCAAACGCCATCGCGTTATCCACTCAGCTACTGAGTCCTTCATTAGCATTTATTTTACTCATTTGATTTCACAGTAATATTTACAAAATATTGAATTTATTTAAATTGACTTATTCCTAAATATTTACTTCATTGAAAGATTATACACTAAGATCCATAAGATATTAAGCAAATATTTTGTTTGTATTGTTTTCTTCAAAAAAAATAGGAAATGATTTCACAATTATTTAATGTTTGGCGAATTGAAAAATAAAAAAAAGAATATCACCCAACATTACAAAAAATCATTAATGTAGTTTATAATAAGTCAGTCAATCAGCTACAACGTAGGACCAGGCACATATATGCATCGGTCCAAGTTGCCATACCTCACTCATTAGCACAACAAGATGAACACCGGATTCATAGAAATAGTTAATTTAGTGGTGGTAGGATATAAACGATAATTTGTATATAAGGATATAGTATAGGAAGGAAGAAAGTTATGAAGCAATTTTAATCTCAAGGTTTAAGAGAAGACAAAGAGTGTATACACCTACGCCATTGTGATCGATTCTGAGCCATGTCACCTAGTCTCCAACCATTGGTTACGATAGTTACGCGGACACCAGTCAAGTAGTCTGTATCTAACATGGCTCAGACTAGAAGTTAGTGACTTCAAGTACTGATGCCACGTTTTGGTTTGGCCTCCCCTAACTCTCTACCAACCATCCCCAATACTAGTCAGCATAGCGCATCGTGGTAATCAGTGTTCAGGTATACGTAACACGTGGCCCAGCCATCTCAGTCGATGAAGAATCACAACCTCATCTACTGATTTACTATCATTCCCTAATACCCTGTGTTTAACCTCACTATTACTTACCCGGTGATCCCAGCAGATGCGAGCTATATTTCTAAGACACCTGTGGTCAAATACTAGTAACTTACGAGTATCTTCTACTCTTAATGGCCATATTTCAATGCAGTAAAGTAGAACAGAGCGAACTGCTGTGCAGTATACTCGTCCCTTAGTTGATAAACGGATATCTCGTCTTCACCATAAGCGACGTAAGTTGGCAAAAGCCAAACGAGCTTTTTGAATCCGTGCTGAGATTTCGTCAGACACCAACCCATTAGGGCTGATCAGACTTCCAAGATAAGTGAAGTTGTCGACGCGTTCGACTGATAAGGAAATTCGTGGATATTAGGTTTATGTTTATTTAACAAATAATAATAATCATTCCTGGAAAGTATAAAAAAACTGAGAAATGGTTGAAATACGTTTTTTTATCAGCCAGGCCTTTCAATAAACCCCAATAAATTCAATATATTCATGTTGTTACTTTGATTCCTTAAACTTACCAAATATAGCTATAAAATTGCTCGTACCCATACGATTTCAATAAATTGAATATATTGCTCACTCTTTTTATTTATTCAAAGATCAAATTTCATTAAAGCATTAGAGTTTAAACATAGGCTAGAATGACTAAGAGCGTAAGCGTTAGAAGGGTGTATGCATAATAAACAAAACAACACTAACACAATGATCAAATTCCAGATACTATCATGAAATGTCACATACTATTGAACGAAACAATTGTTTAAACATGAAGGTAAGTAGAAAAACGAGAGTAGTTGTAAAGGTGAGTGTGTGTATATGTGTTCAACATCTATTGCATCAACAGTGACTAACATTTACTATTTTAACTAACAAACAGATATCTAAGCCTCTGATAATAATAATCCGAAGTATACATAATGGAGATTAATTCCTCAGTAGATGGTAGTTAGCAAAGTAAATAATTAAACTAATAAGAAATCATTGTGAATATTAACCAAATGACAATTACGCAATAGAAATCAATTAAATTTTATCTGAAATTTAGTGTTTACGTAACTTTAACTTTCATTATCAACAGGTTTGTGGGGTGAAGTAACAAAAACAAAATATTGGAAATAGACCATTTTCCATGAGTTCCCTATGATACGACGACAAAATTGAATGTTTGACATTTCCAGGTATAAATAGTTATTTTACAACAGGTTTTATGTAGGAAGAAAACCAAAGAATCAACATTCACCCACGCAAAAATACATTTCAAAATTGATATGCATAATGATTGTCTAAAATGATGAATACATGATTTTTTCTGTTAACCCTTCCCAACCAAATACTTTGGATATTAAGGAGAATATGTTACATGAATTTTATAGCAACAACTGAAATCTATAAATATTATATTTTTAGTATGTATAAAAAAATAGAATAAACGCTACATTACCTCATTCATATCTAAAATGCATCGTGTAACAATTTCTAAGAGTAAAACACCATTAGTATCTTGTCTTTTCATCATATCTCTAATAAATGATAGTAACGCCCAAAGGCCACGTGGTTCGTTGGCACGATAAGAGCGAAGTATACAGTGAAAATTCTCTACTTCCGTGGGTGAATTAAAACTTAGTGAGCCAATATCACTGTATAATACAGGTCGTGGAGCCCAAAATCTACGCAGTGTAACTCGTAATTTTTCCTCCAATACACCACCATCAAAACACCACGCTGCTGCATCGCCTAAAGCTCCACCGACGGTTGGGTCTATTTAAAACGAAATTATTATGAAACAATATACGTAAAATAATCTACAAAATACAATATGGTTGACATATACCAAATTTACCAAATAAACTTTCCAATCAATCAAGATGAAATTCGTGAAAAATTCGTACAACTTAAAAAAAACTCACTTATTAACCGTATATACACTTGACAAAACAGTCGGACGATAAGTGGTTTTATATCACACAATTATACAAATAAGCTACCACTACTACTGTGGTGTATGCTACTTATATCGACAGAAGTAGTATATGACACCAATCAAAAGTAAGATGCCTGGCAGCAGAAGGTTGGAAGATCGAATCGAAGAGAACGGTAACAGAGAGTAATTGTTATGACAATGAAGAAACGACGAAGTTTGAGGCAATTGATGGAGAATTTGCAAATGAAGTATTGAACGTGTGGTTTTCACATTTGATGTAAGAACGCCGTAATTTTGTATTAAAATGGATTGGTTGCCCCCTCTCCTGTGTTCCCGTTCATTACTACTAAGTCATTCCAACAACTAATATTTCATATTTTTCTGCTTGAAATTTATAAGTTTTTTCAATCCTTACATAATCTCTTACCAATGAGCTTGATAAATAGACGAAACTAATCAGAAAACAATAGTGATAGTTCATAAATGTTACCCATCACCTCTTCCTTATCACTCACTCATCGAACAACGCAAATTTAAAATCAGCAGGATAAAAAATAGGTAAATCGGGTTAAGTATCTGGGTAGACGAGAGAAAAACAAATGTAAGGTAATAAGGTGTTCACGATTTAGAAGCTGAAGATCAGGTGTGTATGAGTCATTAAAACTAATGTTGACCAATCCTACATGGTGTATCAAACTATTGATTCCTAACATATCGAGAGCCATAATCACGAAATATACACCTTCCAGTGCGTTTTAGACCAACAACCGATTGATGTATGAATTACTATAATATTGTGATCGGAGAACGCTGAAGCTATTTTCCATTTATCCTAATCAAACTCATAATACTTTATACTACATAAGCGATAGTCTAAAATGATGATCCTCCATCCTTCTAAATGTGACTCGTTTGTTTCACTACTAATGGATAGCCAGCTCATCCAACCTAATGAACTACTACTCCCAAAGCTACCACGATATCACCATGCTTGAAATAAACTTATACTTCAAATTTTTCGGTAAATCCAAGCTATTGTATAGGTATCAAACAGCCATTTTAAAAACCGATCACATATACAGAAGTAGTCTACAGTGATGTCACCATGAAGTTTTACGGTCTGAATCGTAGTACTGATTGAATTCTATCGACCAATTTACAATGTGACTATTGTTCTGAGAGACTTGATATCACGATGTATTATCATTCTTTGTATTATATAGTTAATCTACGGGTATTCGGTCGACATTAAGGGCTAAATATAGGTTTTCATTTAGTGATCAATTAATGTAACTGTTGTTATTCTTGATTTATAAATAAATATAATACCATAAAATTCTTAAAAGTGATACATACCGGGTGCTCCAGCAGAATTTTTAATGGGATTATTTGTAGCAGCCAATAACTGGTCCAGAATAAGCTGTGCAGCTGGTAAAATCTACGAAGAGACAAAAAGAAGGATAAAATGAAAACGAAGCAGAAGATAATAAATCATGCAGTGAACTAGTGGATCCATCTGTTATTGAGGAACAAATAATTAAACATAGCATATGTAATTACAAAAATAATAAATATGCTACTAATTAAGAGCAACTCTGTCATAACAAGCGATGACTTTTGCCATTGAAACACCATAAAATAAAAGAAATAACGTACATACACACATACCGTAAACACAGCAAATTATTGCGTTAATAATACTGTCATAATTTGAAATACCACCGGCTTTATTTTTTCTACCAAAAAAACTGGTCGACTGGACCTCTGTAAAAATAACAGAATTCAGACATAGTGGTGACTTAATTCAAACACTCAACTTCTAACTATTGAGTATTAGGTTGGAACCAAGCTTCATTTATACCTGTTCAGGGAGTGGGGTAGTATTGCCAACCCTAAAACAAAAATTGAAATACACTAACTAGACGACTTAAAACGACGAATCAACAAGCTACCAACGGGATACTGCACATGATGAAGATATGAATCACGTGAAATAGCGCAAATGTGTATTAATCCAAGCTATCACACTTCATATCAACATAGTAAGTAATTAAACGAGAAAAAAAGTAAAGGAACGAAAATAACGATATCAACAAAGAAGCCAATAAAATCGAAGGAAAAGTATGCAATAATACAAAAACCCAAGACTTGTAGAAAGAAAAGGCCATATCACCTGGTCTCCAACCATAAAATACGGTAATGTTACTGACCCCAAAACATTCAGAAACTTTATGAGATGTCACATCTTGAAATGGACACTATTAACCTTCTTCCAACCTACTCACACATTGACGATCTGACCCATTGAAATAAACAATGACTGATGACATAGCACAATTCTCGGTCACTTCAATCAAAGATTTATGATCTCAGCGACGAATTTACCGCTTTTATTCGACAAATTTTATACTTAACATCCGGGTTGTTTAACTTGACATTTTCCTTCATCATACACACCACTGTTCTGAAGACACCTATGACAAATGCTAACAACCTAAAGACGCTACGTCAGTCAGAAAGTAATATGGAGTTGAGTGTAACATTATACTCACTCTCTAAATGACAGGGATACATACCGTCTTTCCCAAAGGTGTCGTGAACTGGTACAAGCCAAGAAATTGGCACTATTTTTTTCAACGATTTCATCGACTGCTAAACCACCTGGACTGATGGGATTTCCAAGATAAGTGATAGACGAGCTCAACAACTATAATCCCTATCATCAAAATAATTCTTAAAAAATAATCCAGTTTTAAAGCGACATTTGAAATTTGGAAGGAGAGAAACGTATCTAAAACTTACTTGAATGCCCACTCAGTATCTGGAATACTTAGTACTTTATCATTGACTTAATATTTATATCTAAACAATTTGGTTTATAAAGTAAAGTTACAAACTTACTTTTCTAGGGCCTACGTGACAAATTAAATTTTGGGCAAATTTTTGTAAATCTTCTCTACTTAATTTTGACAAAGACTCTGATATAGGAGCACGTAATAAAACTTTATCAGGTTGTCGAATACGCATTAAACATGTGGCAACAACATGTGAACACCATGTTCCTGTAGGATTTTGCCCATTTGTCGGCATCAAATCATTACGTATGTTATTTTGATTTACAATATGTTGATTAAACAACCAAGAACGACGACTGTTGGGAGATGTTTGATTATATGAATTTTTTGACAAACAATTACTATTTGGAAAATAATTATTAAGTTGACCAGACATTTGGCGTGAGTTAATATGAGAATTTGTAAAAATTGACCTATTTCTAGCACCGAATTGCCACAGAGTACCAGAATTTGGTTCTGTTGCAGTCATTGGTTGATAGGCAAAAGAATTTGATTTGATAGAATTACTAACGTTTTCTGTGGAGTCTAAATTTATTATATTATCTCCAAAATTTGAAGGTGATTCAAGAGCTGTACATCTTTCCTCTAAGCCGAAAGTACACGTGCATGAGCATGAAGTTATTCTCTGTCGATCGAATGTCAATGAAACTCGATGAGCAGGATAATCAGGCTCAATATTAATTCCACGTTTTCGTAATCTATTATTGTTACCATTATTATTAGTATTATTGACAGTATTTTCATTCGCAGCTCCAAAATTTTCAGAATTCGACTGTCCACGTTGTGTATCATTTGGATTAGGATTGATAACATATGGAATGAAATGACCAATGGAACTAGGGTTATTAATATTATTATTATTATTTGTACCATTCTCCTCGTTATTTGCTGGAGGTACAAAAGCAGGTGCAATATGAAGACTTGTCAATACAGTTGCGCTCAGATGAAATCCTGATCAGAACAAACCAAAAGAAATGGAATAAAAATATTAAAATTGAGCAAAAAAATCTCCTACACATTAAACGACTGGCCTGTGTAACTTTGTCACAATAAAGTCACTTAAACAAAATGAAAAATAACTTGAACAGAAAAAGGATAACAATAATTGTGGAATAAGAACAACTCATTGCATTTGATTTCTATCTCTCTAGTTATATACAGCTAATATGTTTAACTATTTCCAACAAATAACATAATGTTAGAAAATGAATTATACATCGATAACAACTAAGTGGTGTGCAATGAGAAAGTAGTTTTAAAAATTTTTTTAATAGAGGGGTTTTTATGGTTTCTTAAGCTTCAAGTATATTAATATTACTTTACTGCGTGATATTGGAAGCCCAGAAAGGAGAAGAGGACGTGTAGGCTTAACTCACAAAATTATGACTACAATTAGTGATAGAAAAGGGTCTTATTTCTACTTATTAATTTATTTAAAAACATAAACACTGGTATAAGAAGGCACCAAATATATATGTGTCACCCTTCGCCATTCGATTTGTGTGAGGGCTGGAATACTGTCCAAGCGCCCAAACCGAAGAGGGTCGAAATGTTACCAAGGAAAGTGGAAGTCTACTAATGACTTTTTAAATACGAAAGTTGGATTTAAGCTCTTCAATTGCTGTCTTCTGTGAATTTTAAATAATTGTCTGCGACAGAAAACGATATCTTCAGTCAATTATAAAGATATATAGGACTAATAAGAAATAAAATATGACAACTAGGCTGATAGCCTTTATCTCCGAAAACTACCATATTTACATACCGATCTGAACACACTCTTTAACAGCTTTATCAGCCCACAATGCTTCACCCTGATCAAATTCGTATGAACCCCCGCTGCTAAGACAGGAATACAACCATATATCATCTTCATCAGTTGGAAAGCTATGAAAAGCTATAAGTCTTTGCAATTCTTCTGGCACAGTAACTGGACTGGATTCAACAACCTCAAATGGGAAGTGTAGAGCGATTGCTTTGGCTGTTAAGACGAGTAATGATTCCGGTGAGTTGAAATGTTTGCCTGAGTCAAAAAGAAACAATACTACATTTGGTAGGTGGAAACGAACAAGTTAACACGATGTGAACAAAAGCCATCTCAAACAGTTAAATCCAATGCGTAAACTACTTACTTTTCGCCACCTAGAACTAAATCAAAATAGGAAATGTTGAGTAAAAATTTCTTGGTCATGAATATACTTTTACAATTCATCGTTAGATGGAAGGATAATTTAAAAGAGGACTTTCGGATGAAGATTTCATGTATACCAGTGTCAAATTTAAAAAATCTACCTAGAACCTAATATTAGGAATATTATTCAGTAAAATCGATCCGTTTTATTTAATCATGTTCATTAAGAGTGAGTGATACACTAGTGGTAATAATCGGAAAAAACTCGTACATTGAGCTTTACTGAAGAAACCTAAAAATGAGGCCTTATTAACTGATGATTCAGCTATGCGTCTGAAACAGTTTTGAACTTTTATGTGCATTACATAGAGTACGAACAGGATGGATAAACCCTCGATTATCCAAATCAAGACGTCGTATAAGCCTATTGGGTTATTTCCTACTGATCTAATTGGTGTATACATGTTTCTTTAACGGGATCGTAGACATATCGAAAATTGTTAAGCAAAAATATGTGTTAGGAATGTCATTATAAACAGAAATGGAAGGTGGTTAGCAGGAAAATCCAGGACGCGCGTCCCCTTTTTGAAACTCGTCAGATAGATGTACCTTCATCCGAGTTGATGTTCGCTCCAGTACTTGAACCCAGTAGCATTCACTTCAGACACTACCACGTTATCCACTTAACTGATCAATCGCAGTCCTAAACGTCAGTGTGGATATTCAATTAGCCAATACAGGATGAGTCAGTAATGTCAGTTCTGATCGCTTTCACCAGTATTTATGAAGCCGTATTGTTCTTCCACTCCGAGCCTTTGTTTTCCCGTATTTTCTCAATCTCATACATCAGTTGCTGCTTAATATTTTCTGTTGATCTTCAAAGTTTCTCATCTTTATCTTTACTGGTCATCAAGGACATTGCTATATGTAAACTACCTTAAACCCAAAACCCGTAATTAATAGTTTCGATCTTTGAAAAAGTAATATTTTGATGTGCATGCTTTACAATAATAAACAAAGAGATATAATTGGGTTTGAACAGAGAAGAAAGGGGTCCCAGTCCAAGAATCTATTTAAATGGGCAATAAGATAAGTCCCAAGTACTAACAAACACCAATAAGGAATTCTTCATGTATCTGAGTCATTTTAATGTTTCGGACAGTGGTGTTAGCAAACGCAGAAAGTTAAAATTGATCTTAATTAAAGATATACAGACTCATGAAATCAGCAACAATTAATATTAGCAAAAGAGAAATCCGTATATTGAAAACTTGATTACCAATGGTTGATGATTTAGTGTATGATAAATCGTAGTGACACGAGAACATTTAAATATTCGCATCTCTTGAGGTGAATTCTAACTGAAGCAATCACAAATTTACATTTTGCATCATCTATCTTATGCTGTCAAAAAATATCGTAATCTACGGTAGTCCTTCTTAGCTTGAATGGTCACTTATTTATTTATTTATTTATTTAAACACATAAATATTGGTACAATGAAGCACCAGATAAATATGCGCCTCACAAATCTCATTCGATTTGTGTGAGGGCTGTGATACTGCTCAGGTGCCCAGACTGAAGCAGGTGGTTTTCTTAGGGGGCCACACCCGGAGCCTTTGACATGAATGTCTGATCCACAAGGCAGTGGAGCATCGTGAGGAGATGCAGTCCCATGGTAGCCGTTGACCAATGACAGGTTCGTCCGCCATTCGTTCCATCAAGATCCTGGAGCCCATGTGCACCATTGGTTTGGAATCAGGGTTTTCCAACTCCCCTAGGTGGACCCTCCATGTCTACCAACCTGGTTAAAGCGCCGGACAATCGCTTTTCGTCCTCTCACTTTCGTAAACAACACCCCCGCCACGAGAAGGCAGTGAGTAGGACTTCCCTGGCAGAGGCTATATATTCGCTGGCCATATGAGAGTATTTCGAGAGGGAGAGGTGACTCTCCCCACTCTCGGCCGTACCAGGGCATTTGGGGGCTGAATGGTCACTAGACGAAATCCTGTCATTATTTAAATTGTTATTAAGCAAATATAAGCGAGAGACAATTTTCGTAATGTTCGAAATTAAATTATTGTGCAGTAAATCGGAGAAACTTAAATACGGAGAATAAGAGAACGCATCCACACTGAAAGGAAGTGAGGTGGTTGAAGATGACGATTGAAATGACCTGGATTCAATCTTCCTCAAGCCTTATTTTTAAACATTAACTACCATGTGATTGTTCAAAGAGAAAGTAGTAAGCAGTACGTGAGCCTCCACTGACGGCTGACCAGTAATAAACTTGAATTTTACAAAATGAACAAAAAGCTGGTATTTAAATAAAGCATTAACCACACTATTTGAAGTATTTACCAGTGTTAAAAATGCAAGAAAACTCAACTTCTCAATAAAAAGAAACAGCTATCATTTCGACTTACGATTTAAATCTTCTTCCTTATTATAAGCTCCTTTCTTTAAGGACCTGAACGTGAAATCCAAATCAAACTCGCTACTAGGTGAGTAAATGGAGAAGTCCATATCACTGTCTGCGTCATTAGGGGTTCGCGGAGACGAATACGAGCTCATGATTGACTTGGATAGTATAAGAAGTTAAAAACTCGTTAGTATGAGACAGGATCAGATCAAGACAGGCGGATATGTAAAATTTAAGCACAGTTCAAACCTAAAAATTAAGAAATTAATTAGAGCATTTCTGTGAACAACTTTACTGGTCTATCCGTCGGGGAATAACGGCCCCCCAATCCAAAAGTGAGACTGACGAAAGAAACTTGAATGGCAACACTGATGAAAAAAGTATTTAGTTACATCAGCACAGGGTGGTTTAGAAAAACGTATTACTACGGGGATCAAGTGTTTGATCATTGTGGTAGTCTAACATATTTTCGCCATTTACAAGAGATTTAATTAAGTGAAAAAGATGTGCAGAGAGGTTTATGGACTTTTGTATCTTTCAAACTTAGTCTTGAGAAAGAAGTTTAAAATAAAATGAGAGCAAGCAAGAGAATGGGTATATTTCAAAATAAACTAGCCATACTATGTCCATTCAGTAAAATGGTGGAGTCTAGAAATACTTAACTAACCATCAACTCTAATTGCTTACAAAAATAAACCAAACTAATGAAAGCATTCGCTATTTCTTAAGTGACTCGAAATGGTAGCTGCCTAAAGACATCTTACCAACCAGAGATGGTAATCTGTTGATGGGCATGGGTATTTTCTGCTCTAAATTTGCACTAATTTCCATTCTCCCTCATTTGAAAATTTCATATCATGACTTTTTGGATTGGCGACAGTTTCATTTAGGTCTTTGAATAAAATGACTTTACAATCAACTTTACGAATACGTGGCCCACCATACAGAATTCCACTCTTCGAGTGTTTTGCTATTGATTTCTCGGCTTTTCACGTTTTCCAGTTGTTTAGTTCTTCCGGTTGTTGCACTTATAACATACTCTATGGTGTCAGTATCCGAATCTCCAGTACTAAAGCGAACTTTCTTTTTCGCTAACGTAAGAAGCCCTATCGCCTCCTGGATCGGTAACGTCCCACCCTAACAGCAAAGTCGATGAGAGTAAGGCATGTAGTGAATGTAAAACGGAAAGGCATCTTGCATAACTATTTGTTTACTTATCCATTTATTTATCTAAACATATAAACATTGGTATAAGGAGGCACTGTATATTATATATATATATATATATATATATATTCGATTCGTGAGGGCTGGAATACTACCCGGCCGCCCAAACCGGAGCAGGCATAACTATTTACTAAATCCATCACATTGCATTCCTTTTTTAACAGGGGATAAACAAGTGATACCTACACTAATGAGTACAGCCAACCATTATGGACAAGATTTACACATAAATTTAATCCTTACATAAAAAATCAGGACCGGGCAGTAAAACTACAAAATCAATCAAACCCATATGAAAAACGACAGAAATACACAACCTAGCAAGTATTAAAAATAGACAAATACGGCAAACCACAGAAACGAATTTGATTTAAGAAACATGAACTTTAACTGAAACAATTTAGGTAAAAGTTGACCAAATATGATTTTAATGCCGCAAACGCGCAAAAGCAAGGTTAGTTTGAGGACCAAGCCTCTTTTGAAAGACTTGATTTTATTGCTCAATCCTTTCCTTTTACTTAGGGTTGGAAATAGGAAAGGAAGTTTTGTTTCATGTACCGAGTAGTAAATTAATGGAATTCTGAAAAGAAAGACTTAGTATTAGCACCTTATGCTGGCATATCGAACACCAGACTAGACCGTACTAGCATTATAAATCAAGAAGATTAACACATTGCTTGAGACCCCTTCCTTACTTCTAAAGACTGAAGATGAATAAGGCCAGCTCTCGATGAATCCATATATAACTTTCACTCTAAAGTTTGACCCCTAGCCTTGTTACCAACATGTAAGCATAATTAGTTTACCCTGAAAGTAATATGTTGACTTAATCCCCACTGACTTAAAATCAACTCTGAATAACCCTAACACTAGTGAGAACCAAACAGTTGTTTCTAAAGCACAAAAAACACTATGTTTGAGGAAAACAAGCAATCAGAAATTAAATAAACTTGCAAAACGACACTCTTAAGCTAAATAGGGGCTAAATTATTCCTCTATCATACAAACAAAGAATAGTGACTACGCCAGCCGTCACACAATAAAAATGAAACTGAGCAATTAAATTATCCGCTAACAAATCTGTGACCTTGGTTACTTTATTCCTCATGTATCAGAAGCAGGAGACTATAAATTTCTTTAGACCCATGTGCTCCAACATAAAGCAGAACTATAGCAAATATTGTCCTTGGTTATTTCATAAATACAAATATTACTAACAAGGTTAAGGTTCAAATGATGTGAAAGAAATATGAAATTTTCTATCACGAAAACTGTTTTTTGTAGATTTCAGGACAGCCTGTTTTCCAAGCTTAGGATTCTGAACATGCATTCGAACAATGTATGCTTGTTATTTATAATTTTGAGATTCGCTGGTGTATAATTTCATCTACCTTCTACAACCGTGATTTTAATATCTATCGTCAGGATCGATCAAACAATAAAAAAACTTGTGGTGGCGGAGTAGCTACTTTTGTAAACGTTAACTGGTGTCGATCTTCTTTTGCCTGTTTCAAGTTTTCAAACGACTTTATTGACTGTCTAACTTTAAGGTGCCGTCCAAAACACCTGAATAAATACAAATATATTTATGTTGCCAATATCTACATGACTCCAGACTGCACATCATCTGCGCATAAATTTACTGAATTCGCCGTTACTGTCTTCAGTTATTCACTTTCAATTGTATGTGGTGATTTCAATTCATGTGACTGTAGCTTCCTTACATCACTAGGTCACCTAAATGTAGTAGATTTTCCTACTCGTTTGAATGCTCATCTAGACTTGGTTTTCATTAATGATGTGGGTACATATGTGACTCGCAAACGTGCTCCACTGTCTAGTTCGGATCACTGTATAATTCGTGTTCTACCTAAAGTATATGGTAAACATGGGAAGAGTACACACATACACAATACCAAAAAAGTAATATATAGGAATTACTCAGAAGAAAATTTACAAAATCTAAAAAACATGTTTCGTACGACCAACTGGAAAGTACTTACAGATGACTCAATAGAAAACACAACGGATGTTATCACCTCTTATCTTAAATTCTGTTTTGATATTTGCTGTCCTACCGAAACCTTCTTTTTAAGTTTTGATCGGCTTACATCTCCACAACTAAAACGACTACGGAGGGTAAAAGAAAGGATGTACAAGGAGAAAAACACTATTGAAGTTCGTAAGTTAAATGATCAAATAAACCAAGAGATTAGACGTCTCACCTCTGTGTTTACTCAAAAACTCTTATCTCGTAAAAGCTCTCCAAGTATGTGGAAACTTTTTAAAGAAATTACAGGGGACAGGCAGACTGGAAGCGATAACCAGCTAAATGTTTGTGATTTAAATAATTCCTTTATTCGTCAGTCATCTGACATCATGCTCCCTATATCCAAGGGTTTGAAGAATAATTGTGTCCTCAGTTTCACTGGAAATGATGTCCGGAAATTTCCCCAGTCTTTGAATTCATCCCAATGTTTAGGACCTGATGGTATCCCAAACCTCCTTTTTAAAAAATGTGCTGATGTTTTATGTTGTCCATTGACGAATATCTTTAACAGATACTGCTCAACTAATGTCCTACCGAAAATGTGGAGAAAGATAAAGATAATCCCTATACCAAATAAAGTTTCTGGCGATAAAAATGTGAAACTTAGACCCATAGCAATAACCTCACCTTTCCTCAAAGTAATGGAAAAATTACTGATACAACCACTTCAACCTGCAATAAAAGAGCACTGTGATCCATATCAATTTGCTTACAAATGCAAAAGACGCACATTAGATGCCGTTGTTGTTCTGCATCACAATATAGTGTTCGGGTTGGAAAAGGGTAAGAAGTATGTTAGATGCGCTTTCCTGGACTTTACCTCTGCTTTTGATTCCATTCCAAGACACCTCTTACTTAACAAGCTGATCAGCATCGACACTGACAGCTTGATAACCTAATGGCTACGTTCCTACCTTTCTGGAAGAGAACAGTACACTGTATTTGAAGGGAAGTGTTCAACATCTCTACTGTCTACTGTAGGTGTGCCACAAGGAGCTGTTCTTTCACCTCTGCTCTTCTCTTTCTTTTTGCATGATCTGCCATCTTCCACAGAAAACACTTTTGTAAAATATGCGGACAACCTCACTGTATATATGCCGATTTCCAACTCCTTACATCCTATAGAAATGAATGAGTTTTATCTCGTATTGAAAGGTGGTCTGTTGGTAATGGTCTCCTACTCAATCCATCTAAATGTCAAGCTGTTAACTTTAGCTTGAGACATGGACAGAACCTATACTCTATGTTGGGATCCCATAATGCTTGTGCCATTGGAGACTCCTTAATAAACACAGTGTCGAAGGTCAAATATCTTGGTGTTACTTTTTCCTCTATTCTTTCTTGGTCTTCTCATGTTCTACTGTTATCGAAAAAAGTTTACCGTTTGACATACTACATAAAGAGGCTGCATGCTTTTGGGACTACTCGCCATTTACTCTTACAATTTGTAAATTCCTGCATATTACCTATTATTTTATATTGTTCTCCATTATTCTTTCCTGGGCTTTTGAGAAAAGACTTTGCTGTTTTGAGTAGAGTGCTGAAGGCAGTTTGCAAGGTATGTGGTGAATCTTTTGAAGTCATTGTTACTATGCTTGTGGATAGACATCTTAAGTCTTGCAAACTCTTGGCAGGTGTTATCTTATCAGATACTAACCATCCACTTCATTCATATCTTTCTCCTTGTATATCTTCTGGTAGAACGAGACGTAAATACATTAAAATTCATGCACGCAAGCAAATCTATAAAAGTTCTGTAATACCTTACCTTGCAAATTTACTTTGTGACGGACAGGCTGTTAGAGTTGACCTAGTAAATAACCTGTCTTCTTAAGCATGTTTCAAATTTGATAATTTTGTATAAATTCAGATTTTCTTAAACCTTTTTTTATTTCTGTTCTGTTTTTTTGTTTGTTTTGGGTTTTTTTTGTTTTGTTTTTTTGGTAAAAAAAGCTTGTTGAAATAACTCGTGCTGAGAATTCTATATTGTACCAGATTATAATACTGAATAAAGCCATTAATAATAATAATAACCTGATTTTTCCCATAGATTTGTTCGAAAGACCCTGTTTCGAAAGGGAAGTTTAGTTCTAATGTGATTTTTATATCTCGAACTTTTGCTATGGTTTTACACAACAAAAGTACCATTTCTGATCTAAAGAATCTATTCTGAGTTATACGTTCGGTAGATTACTTATTTCTTGAGTTTCACTCAATTTAATAGTTAGCTGGGGTTTTGACTCAGCTTACCATTCGGTTTTTTTTAAGTTTTTCTCCTAAAGTGATGTGAACAGCGAAACAAGGGGCTTAACGAACTACGGAAGCTATTTTTGGGGACGTTATTTCATTTAATTCAAAGCTTGTATAACAGTAACATTTACCTTTATCCCTAGTCTATTCTACAGATCATAAGCTTTCGTTTGATGTATGATTCGCTTACATAGCATTTTCTGTTCCAAAGCTATTTTAATTTAGACGTAACCTATTTTACTCTATTTTCTGCTCTAATTCCCCAGTTTTAGACATAACTGTATTTTCCTAATTATTGTACATTGTGGTCAGGTTAGTCATCTATTTATTCATATATCTTTTTACACTAATCTGAATTCGGAATTCGGGTACCAGATCGGAATTTGGAATAAATCGAGGGGTGTTCCATTTGTCTTGTCTTCTCTCTCTCGCGTGCCTGACAGTCAATCAGGGATAGGATAGTTTTCGTCTCTCTACCCCCACTTCGAATTCCTGAAAACGACTTGGATGCCGTTTTGCTGTTATATCTGGCGTGCAGTGTGATAACTGCAAAGGTTGGTTCCACGAAGCGTGCACAGATCTCACAGCAACTGCCTACAAAATACTCAGAAGGTCCGGGTTTAGGTTGGTATGTGTTACGTGCAACACGGACGCTGTAGTTTCGCTGAATAACATCATTGTCCTATTGACAGGTCTGCGGAACAAGTTGTCTGGAAACTTGGTAAATGACAGTCATACAACAGGTAAACAAACGAGGACGCGCAGTTTTAACAAGAAAAGGGATCTCGACAGCTAATCGCACTAGTGATGACATGCTGAAGCTCAGCACCATCATAACCTCAATGGTAGTAGACTCTTTCAACAAACTCGGGTCTCCCAACACAGAGTCCTTGAACTCAACGGTGGTTCTCAAAAACATGGTAGGTGGTTGAACCCACATTAACAGAGTTAAAAAAGGACCACGCAGGCCCACCATGCGTGACGTTGATCACCACCCAGTGATCAATTAATTGGGATTACATCTCAGTTCAACAGGAGGTCGGTCGCGGCCCAAATAGCTCAGAAGTAACGTCTCTGATTGTGAAGCTGGGTGACACGGGATCGAATCCGTCAGGGAGCACCAGTTCCCTCAAGATTACAGGTACACCTTGTTGACGAGTGCCATGTAGCACGAAACCCTGGTCCAAGGTTTCCTGTTGACTACCTCCAACCACCATTTTATCTCAACCTAAGAATACTGCCTGACATATCGTATTCCGAGCAAAATCTCATCCGGAACATCTCTAAAGAATTTCGCGAGGCGTTTTTCCGCAGAAGAAATATGGTTGTGCAAGGTTTACCGGAAAATACGAACTCAGCTCAAGCAAGCTCTGATATTAGGAAGTGGAAATTCATTGACCAATCCTTGAAACTCAAAAACATACTGACCCAACAGGTGGCGCGACTAGCCAAGAAAGATGGAGACTTCAGACCCCGGCTAATGAAGATAACCTTCCCATCCTCCTGCATGGCGGCAGCAACTCTGGAATCATATCGTGCCAACAGATGTCGGTTGCCAACTGGTATCCACATGCACCCGAACAGGCCACACGACACCAGGATCAAGCACAAAGGCAGACTGGAGCTGACAGTTCCACTCGTGGACTGTCTTGGTCACAAGAAAACGTGTAAAGGACAGAGGCTACCTATTTGGAAAACCTTGTATAGGTAGGCTACTTGTCCACTTATGTAAGGCTCTTACAGACAAACAGGAAAAAGCTCACGCGTTTCAAAATGAAAGC